ATCATGGTTCTACCTACCGCACTGCAAGACTTCCTCACCACCGCTGCGTCCACCCCTAATCTCTCCTTCTACCTAAACGGCACCCCCATCGTCCTCGCCAACCCTAACCCCCACTGGACCCTCCTTGACTTCATCCGCTCCCAACATGGCCTGAAGGGCACCAAGCTGGGCTGCGGCGAAGGTGGGTGCGGTGCTTGCACGGTCGTCCTGCAGACCCGCGACGGGCGCGCCCAGATTCGCCATCGCGCCGTGAACTCCTGTTTGTATCCGCTGATTGGAGGTACGTGTGTTGGTTCCATGGGTGCGACCGCATCTGACAGCCGCAGTGGCCGGAAAGCATGTCATCACTGTTGAAGGACTAGGGGACGTGGATCACCCCCATCCGCTTCAGGAAAGGCTGGGGAAGCTCCATGGGTCACAGTAAGTTGACCGTGGTCTGATGTATGAGCAATGCTGATAGGATAGATGTGGTTTCTGTACCCCGGGTATAGTTATGTCGCTATATGCGCTCGTGCGAAATGCATACGATCCGAAGACCGGACAATTCAATCTGACAGAGGATGATATTGAGATGAAGGGCCACCTGGATGGCAATCTGTGTCGGTGCACCGGATACAAGCCCATTTTGCAGGCAGCCAAAACGTTTGTCCAGGAGGATCTCCAGGCCCGGCTGGCTGTGCGCACGCGACCTTTGAACAGGGAAACTCCGATTGAGTCTGAATCGGATACATCGCGGCCGCAGTCCTGTGGGCGTCCAGGCGGATGCTGTCGTGATACTCCTGGGTCGTCTTGCTCGTCTTCCTCGGATCGAGACAGCAGTCGCACCAGTATGTCGACCCCAGATACAGAGCCAGAGAAGGACCTGGCCAACAGCACCGTACCACAATTTGACTTCCAGCCGTACATTCCGAACACCGAGCTCATTTACCCTCCGGCCCTGACCAAGGCCACTCCGCAGCTCGTCTGCTACACTGACGACCGCAAGGCCTGGCTACGTCCGGTGACACTCGCCCAAACCTTGGACATTTTGGCCCGTTGCCCATCTGCCACCCTGGTCGGAGGTGCCAGCGAAGTCCAAGTCGACATCCGGTTCAGAGGCGCTGAGTTCGCCGTATCCGTCTTTATCGGCGACCTTGACGAGCTGTCATACATTAGACCCGTTGAGAAAGACGGCACCATCACCGAACTCATCATCGGCGGCAACACGCCCCTCAGCGACATCGAAACCGAATGCAACCGACTTATCCCAGACCTAGGGGACCGAGGCTCCGTCCTCTCAGCCACATCTAAAGTCCTGCGCTACTTTGCAGGACGCCAGATCCGCAACGCGGCCTCACTAGCCGGTAACATCGCCACGGCATCGCCCATCTCGGACATGAACCCAGTGCTCTTAGCCATCAACGCCACCATCATCGCGCGCACCCCAACCCAGGAAACCACTATCCCAATGTTCAACATGTTCCTAGGCTACCGCAAGACCGCCCTCCCCAAAGACAGCATCATCACCTCGATCCGCATTCCCCTCCCACCGCCGGGGACCCGCGAACTTACCAAGTCCTACAAACAAGCCAAGCGCAAAGACGACGATATCGCCATCGTGACCGCCGCCTTCCGCGTGCGTCTCGCCCCAGACAACACCGTAAGCGAAATCGCCCTTGCCTACGGCGGCATGGCACCGACAACCCTCCTAGCCAGACAGGCCATGGCCGCCCTACAAGGCAAGAAGTGGGGCGTACAAGCTGTCCTAGACAGTACCCTCGACGCCCTCCTCCAGGACTTCAATCTCCCCTACTCTGTCCCTGGTGGAATGGCACACTACCGACGTACACTGGCCACATCTCTCTTCTTCCGCTTCTGGCACGAAGTCATCTCCGACTTCAACCTCACCTCCACAGCCGCCGACCCATCCCTCACGACCGAAATCCACCGACACATCTCCCACGGAACACGCGACAACCACAACCCCCACGAACAACGCGTCGTCGGAAAACAACTCCCTCACCTATCTGGTCTGAAGCACGCCACCGGCGAAGCCGAATACGTCGACGACATGCCCCCGCAGCACCGGGAACTGTTTGGCGCGATGGTGTTATCGCAGCGCGCCCACGCCAAGCTCCTCTCCGTGGACTGGACACCCGCGTTACAGCCGGGCTTGGCCTTGGGATACATAGACCATACCAGTATCCCAGCGGAGAAGAACATCTGGGGACCAGTGGTGAAGAACGAGCAGTTCTTCGCGGTGGACGAGGTGATGTCGCACGGGCAGCCGATTGGACTGGTGTATGCGGAGACGGCGCTGCAGGCGCAGATGGCGGCGAGGGCCGTGAAGGTGGAGTATGAGGATCTAGAGACGATACTTACCATCGATGAGGCGATTGAGAAGGGGAGCTACTGGCCTCATGGGAAGCAGTTAAGGAAAGGGGTGGCTGTGACGCCAGAGAAGATGAAGGATGTTTTTGACAAATGTGATCGGGTCTTCGAGGGTGTTATTCGTATGGGTGGACAGGAGCACTTCTACCTTGAGACGAATGCTGCGGTCGTGATCCCTCACTCAGAAGACGGGAGTATGGAGGTTTGGTCGTCGACGCAGAATACGTAGGTTCTTCCCTCTACCTATTACGGGATAATTCTCACGGTTTGAATAGGATGGAAACCCAGGAATACGTCAGCCAAGTGACATCCGTCCCAGCGTCGCGTATCAACGCACGAGTGAAACGCATGGGCGGCGCCTTTGGCGGCAAGGAATCCCGCAGCGTGCAACTCGCCTGTTTACTAGCCATCGCAGCTAAGAAGACCAAGCGCCCGATGCGTGCTATGCTCAACCGCGACGAAGACATGATCACTTCTGGCCAGCGTCACCCCTTCCAATGCCGCTGGAAGGTAGGTGTCATGAACGACGGGAAACTTGTCGCCCTCGACGCAGATATCTACAACAACGCGGGATTCTCTTTGGACATGAGCGGTGCCGTGATGGACCGGTGCTGCACCCACATCGAGAACTGCTATTATTTCCCGCATGCGCATATCCGCGGGTGGGTATGCAAGACGAACACGCATAGTAACACTGCGTTCCGGGGATTCGGTGGTCCGCAGGCCATGTTCATCGCGGAGAGTTACATGTCTGCTGTTGCGGAGGGGCTGGGAATGGATATCGATGAGTTGCGGATGAGGAATCTGTATACTCAAGGACAAAGGACGCCATTCCTGCAAGAGATCGACCAGGATTGGCACGTTCCTATGCTGCTGGAGCAGGTCAAGAAGGAGGCGCGGTACGCGGAGCGCAAGGCCGAGATAGCAGAGTTCAATAAACGCCACCGCTACAGAAAGAGAGGAATAGCTATGATCCCAACGAAGTTCGGCATCTCCTTCGCGACGGCAGTTCATCTCAACCAAGCCGGCGCGAACGTCAAAATCTACACTGACGGCTCAGTACTTCTGAACCACGGTGGAACAGAGATGGGCCAGGGCCTGTACACGAAGATGGTGCAGGTTGCAGCGCAGGAACTAGGTGTTCCGGCTGAGAGTGTGTACACGCAGGATAGCTCGTCGTACCAGACGGCGAATGCGTCGCCGACTGCTGCGTCGTCGGGAAGTGATCTGAATGGAATGGCGGTTAAGGATGCGTGCGATCAGCTGAATGAGCGGTTGAAGCCGTACCGGGAGAAGTTCGGCAAGGATGCTGATATGGCGACGATAGCGCATGCGGCGTATCGCGATCGGGTCAATTTGGCGGCGAGTGGGTTTTGGAAGATGCCTAAAGTGGGGTATCAGTGGGGGACGTATGATGTGGAGAAGGTGAAGCCGATGTATTATTATTTTACGCAGGTATGTGTTTCCCTTGGGTGTGAGTAGGTGGGTGATGGTTGCTGACTGACGAGTGATAGGGAGTCGCATGCACTGAAGTCGAGCTTGATCTACTTACAGGCGATCATACTGTGCTGCGCACGGACATTAAAATGGACGTGGGAAGGTCCATTAACCCTGCTATTGACTATGGGCAGATCGAGGGTGCATTTGTTCAGGGACAGGGACTGTTTACGATGGAGGAGACTCTCTGGACGCAGGGAGGGCAGCTGGCGACACGGGGACCGGGCACGTATAAGATTCCTGGGTTCAGTGATATCCCGCAGGAGTTCAATGTCAGTTTTCTGCAGGGTGTGTCGTGGAGTCATCTGCGCTCGATCCAGAGCAGCAAGGGTATCGGAGAGCCGCCGCTGTTCATGGGGTCATCGGTGTTGTTTGCCTTGAGGGAGGCGTTGAAGAGTGCGAGAGCGGATCTTGGTGTGCAAGGGCCGTTGGTGCTGGATAGTCCGGCTACGGCGGAGAAGTTGAGGCTGGCGGTAGGAGATGACTTGGTGAGGAAGGCAGAGGTGAAGAGGAAGGAGGGAGAGAGGGGGTTCTTTGTTGCTGTTGCATGAGGAGGTGTAGAAATGTGAGATGTGCATCATATTAAATATAAACATTTTGGAGAGTACTCCGTTTTCTCAAATTCCACATCTGAAGAAGGCACTATTCCAGTGGACATATAAGGGGAGGCGCTACCGCCACACCAGCCAGGCTTCCATAGCGGCCTTCGCTCATGCCAGTTCCCTTTAGGGTATAGCCTTTTTCATACTTTCCACCATCTCTATACGGTAGTTTACTTGCCTAAGGTGCTGAACTCATGCCTCAGGAATAAATATCTAATATAGCAGATGGTAGGATTCTGCCTGTTTAAAAGACCAAGTCTTATCTTGAATGAATGAAACCTTCCTTTATAAGGTAAGCGAAGGCCGGTGTGGAGGAAGCCTGGCTGGTGTGGCAGTAGCGTCTCGAAGGTATCACGTTTAGACAGGTAGTTCCAAGAATTTTCTCATTAATGGGTATTAACACGAATATAGTATCAAGAGTTGTTGGATGCGTTAACAAGTCTCAAGTCCACATCTTTACATCGCCGATATAGAAATATGATATTGTAATCGAGTAGTAAAGTATACACGTCGTTTCCACAAGTATCCCTATATCCTCTAATGTCTGCCATCCCTTCAGCCAGAGTAAACACTCAACTCTTATGCAGTACTCACAACCTCGCTACCTCTACCTCCACCTTTTCGCCCACTGTTTCCCAGTTTGCGTCCACCTGGATACCATTAGCACTGCCTCCCAAGTTACGTACGTTTAGAAGCACTTACATCCGCTATATGATCATATCCTAACAACTTCGGCGCCAACCCCGGATCCCTCCACGCCAGCGCCTCCCCTTCGGGCGTAGGCACCATGCGCATCTTCCGATCGCGCTCCTCCTGCTCAGGCCCATCATGCAAATGATACAGATACTGCTGCGTATTTCCCCGCTCTACAACCATCTGCGTGCGCTGCTTGCGACATTTCTCAAATACGGCCAGAGCGTGGCGCTTGGCGGCGATGAACTCGGGTGAGGATTTTGAGACGTTAGGGCCCGATGGGAGACGGGAGAGACATTCGCCGAGCACGGCGCCGTCTTCAAAGGCCATTCCTGCACTGTTACCTTTGTCAGTACTTCTTTTATGTAGTTGAATGTTATATGGAGGAGGTACCCAGAAGCAAGGTAGGGAAGTGTAGCATGCACAGAATCGCCTAGCATGACCCATGCCCCGGAAGGATGCGTCCAGTCGTAGTCGCCGAAGCGGATGCAGAGACGCCATTTGTGCACGGATTGGCAGAGCTTGAGGAGTTTTTGGATCCTATAAATCAGCATCCCCATCAATAGAATGTAGTTGCAGAGTAATACCTCGGATCCCATCCCTCAAACAACGCACACATTTCCTGCACATTGCCCTCGACCGTCGAGGCCAACGACTGCTCGGGGATATCATCAGGCACAAGCAACACCATATTAAACAGTTCCCCTTGTCGCAGAACATAGTTCACTGCGCTCATTAGCCCCCCGTCCATACTTGAAAAAGGGATAACAAACCGGCATGTTTATCTGGCCCCAGCCAATAATTAACCTGAGGATCCGTCACAAACCCTCTCAACTCGGGATCCTTCAACATCTCCTCCGTGGACAACAACAACCGATACGCCAAATCCCCGGTTTTGATCGGTGGATCCGGCCTCTTCAACATAACCTCCGTCAACTTCCCAAACACTCCATCAGCACTAACAACCAGATCCCCCCTCCACGAGCGTCCATCACTCGCCACCGCCGTCGCCATAGCCCCATCCTCATCCGGAACAATATCCACTACCCTAGCAGCGCAGGTAATCTTCGCTCCCAACTCCTCCGCCCTTTCAAGCAAACAGCGCTGTAAATCTGCGCGGTGAAAATCACGATACCACGTGCCCGGGTACTGCTTCGCGGAGTCAACGAAACTCAAGCTGGATATGACCTCGCCCTTCCAGTGTAGAAAGTTGCACACGCGCGGGTGTGTCATATGTGGTGTGAGAGCTGGTTCTAGACCCCAGTGTTTGAGCACTCTAGAGCTGTTCGGGAGGACTTGGATACCGGCGCCTACTTCGCGGATCTCGTGCGTCGCTTCGAGGACGTGTACGTCGTGTCCGGTGAGGAGGCAGGAGATGGCGGTGCCGAGGCCGGCGAGGCCGGCGCCGATGATAATGATCTTTCGTTGTTAGCTTAGGCGGGGGAGTTAGATGGGATGCATGGGGGAGTGGGATGTACCTGCAACCGACAGTTGTCGGGGAGGGAGCGCTTCTCTTTGATGTGGATAGGAGGCGCCATGGTATCAATCCTGTATACAATAGTAAGTGGTGTATGATCCACTGGATACGTTCTACTCCATCATATAAAGCCAGTTCGAGCTCCAACTGAGTGGTTTCTTCTGCCCCTAAAATGGGGGATAAGCGTGTGCCTGACAAGAATGGGGGTCGGGCATGAGGGGATGCATCTGCATCAATCTTATCATATCATTTGCGGGGAGAATAAGTACACCCTGCGGTCGGGGCAAACACCTTCCAGTAATCACCAGCAGATCCATCCCAGTATTACGTTCACTATGTCTCGAGTGAGTCGATCTCTGTCCCTCCAGGACAACCTTCAGCAGAGAACTAACAGCCCAGTTCTCCCTCCAAGGTCGAACCGCCCTCGTCACCGGCGGTGCCCGGGGCTGCGGCCTCGCCTTTGCGCGCGGTCTCGCCGAAGCAGGTGCCAACGTAGCCATCTTCGATCGGATATCTCCTGAGGAGGGGTTTCTATCTATCGAGAAGGAGTATGGTGTGCGGACTGCATATTACGAGTATTCCTCCCGCCTCGGGGTTCTACACCTCACGCCGCAAACACTAACAGAGATTCCTGCAGAGTGGACGTATCCTCCCCCGAGTCCCTCGCCACCGGCTTCGGCGCCTTCCAAACAGACTTCAACAATGCACTAGACATCTGCGTCCCATGCGCAGGTATCAACCGACACCAGACATTCCTTGAATTCAACTACGCGGATCACCAAGAGTTGCTGGGTGTGAATGTGCTGGGCCTATTCCATACTGCGCAGCTGGCCGCCCGGCAGATGATTGCCAATGGCACAAAACACGGGAGTATCGTGCTGGTGGCGAGTATGGCGAGCCACGTGGCGGTGCGGAGCCAACTGTGCAGTGCGTATTGTGGGAGTAAGGGGGCGGTGAGGGCAATGTGTCCTGCTATTGCGAAGGAGTTGGCTGAATATGTATGTCCCTATTGGTTTGGTGGCGTTAATAGAGGAGGGGGAGGTGGCTAACGGTGGTAGGGTATTCGCGTGAATTCGATTTCGCCGGGATATGTGAGGACGGAGATGACTGCTGCTGTGAGTACCACTTTATCACTCCGGAATCGGAAATTCCTAATGGAAGTGATGACAGTTCCCCCATTTAATCGAAGAATGGAAATCAGCAGCGATGAACGGCCGCATCGCCGAGCCGGAGGACATCATGGGAGCGTGTGTGTTTCTGGCGAGCGATGCCAGTTCGTACATGACGGGGCAGGATGTGATCGTGGATGGGGGGGTGACTAAGTGGTAGCATTATTATTATCTTTGCAGAGTCGATAACTATGCAATCAATACAGACTGATAATACATCCTATCACGCAATCATCCATAATCACAATCAAGCAATCTATCAAAAGGGTAGCTATCCCCGCATAAGCTACCAGTGTATCCACGCCCAAAAGTGGGGTTATCAGCTTCAGTCGGCGATCGCTCCGAACCCCATCACCGACTAGCTACCAACTATAACAATACTCATCCAGAAGCAAGTATGAGCGTAGCATCACCATTTCAAACAAAAATATTATCTCGAACAATGTCTCCCAGCGCCATTAACGAGGGCTTTCCCAGCCCGTCCACTATACCCACCACAACAGTGGTAGTAGTAGGCGCTGGCCCTTCAGGCCTAATGCTAACGTACCTCCCCCACTCACCATCCCCACCAAAAAAAAAACACCCCCAACTAACAACTGTGCATGGGATAGAAACAACCTCATCCGCTACGGCACACCTGTGACTCTCCTCGACGACCGCCCGACAGCAACATCAACCGGCAAAGCAGACGGTCTGCAGCCGAAGACCATCGAGACACTGAAACAGCTGAGATTGTCGGATGAGTTGCTCCGCAATGGGGCGAAGGTGTATGATATTTGTTTCTGGGTAGGCCTATCCCTACCCATTACCCCCATATAACAACCCCCAAGACATGAATTACACTAATGACAGTAATTATGATAATCTAGGAATCCACCCCCGAATCCCCAACCCTTACTCGCACATCCCGCCAAACGCACTACCCCGATCATCTCGTCGGCGCCTCAGACCCCTACATTCTCCTCGCGCACCAGGGCATGCTCGAGGACGTGCTTATCAGAGATATAGAAGAGCGCGGGGGAAATGTCCAGCGAAACAGCCCGTTCGTATCCGTGTCTAAAACACAGGACGGGAGTGGAGAGCTAGAAGTGATCTACAACGATAACACAACAAACACCAAAAAGATTATCCGTACACAATACCTCGTTGGATGCGATGGCGCGAGATCTAAAGTCCGGGACTATATTCCTGGCGCGCAGTTGGAGGGGGAAATGAGTAATGCTTCTTGGGGGGTTTTGGATGGTATTATTCTATTTCATTTGTCTCTGGCTAGGTGGTCCGAAGTACTAATTGGTAATAGGAGTAATCGACACCGATTTCCCCGACCTATGGAGTAAGGTGGCTGTTCGCTCGCACACGGCGGGATCTATCCTCTGGATTCCGAGGGAGCGCGGAATGACGAGATTGTATGTTGAGCTTAGTTCCACAGACGGGGAGAGGGTCGATAGGGCCAAGGCGACACCGGAATATGTTATGGCTAGGGCGCGGGAGGCAATGCAACCTTTCCGGTTGGAATGGAAGGAGATTGGTATTCCCTGCCCCATACTCCCATACTACCCCACCCTATGTCGGACATGACATTAACATGGTATAGAATGGTTCGGCAACTACGTCGTCGGCCAACGTGTCGCTCGCCGATTCAGCGACCCCGAGAACCAGATCTTCATTGCCGGCGATGTACATCCCACACCTCCCCTACCATCTACCTTTTCTCACCAATATACTAATAAAAGATCAGGCCGGCCACGTACACTCCGCTCTCGCAGCCCAAGGTGCCAACACCAGCATGCACGACAGCGTGAACCTAGCGTGGAAACTCAACCTCGTAGCCCGAAACCTCGCCCCGGCCTCCCTACTAAACACCTACTCCGAGGAACGACGGAAGATCGCCAACGACCTGATCGCCTTCGACGCGGGGCACGTCGCGGCGTTCGAGAAAGGCGAGGCGGCACTTGCTCGAAACTTCGAGGAGAATATCCGGTTCATTTCCGGCGTCGGGGCTGAGTATGACGCTGGTGTTCTTACGAAGCCAGCTGATGGGAAAGCGAAAGGTGGAATTCAGGCGGGGACATTAACTCGCCCTGCAAAGGTGACGAGGTATATTGATGCTAATCTGGTGGATTTGCAGCTTGATATCCCGATGATGGGACAGTTTAAGGTGATTTTGTTTGCGGGGGATGTGGTTGGTGGGAAGGGGTTTTTGGAGGGGTTCTGTGGGGGTGTTGGGCTTGATAGGGTGGATTCTGTGGCAAGGGAGTCGTATAGGAAGTGTCCTCGGGGAGTTGGTGATGGGGATAAGTATTTCCCGTTGGAGAGGTATACGACTGTTTCGGAGGTGGTGACGTACGGGTTAGTGACGAGGAGTCAGAAGAGGGAGTTTGAGTTGGGGGATTTGCCCGAGTTGCTGCAGAAGAGTCGGTGGACGGTGTATTTGGATGATGTGGAGGGCGGGAAGGGGTGTACTGGGAAGTGGATGGGGGAGATGGAGAAGGATCAGGTCGGGGTGATGATTGTCAGGCCGGATGGGTATGTTGGGGCGAAGGGGGTGTGGGGATGGAGTGAGGGAGAGGGATCGAGGGCAGCAGAGTGGGTTGGGGAGTATCTGGCTTTGGGGAAGTAGAATTCATAGATGGGTGATTCAGACGCATGTTGATATTCTACCTGTTAGATTTCTCAAGTTACCAAGACAGACAATGTGGAAATGTGGAAATGTAGAAATCGCATCAACAACAAGATCAGATCAAATGATGATATAATAATTTAAAAAGCATTCTACGTTAATAAGTTCACATAGTAGTCTTGATAGGACCAGCCTTATATTAAGTATCTAGTCAATGTCACCACCACGACGTTCAGTATTCCGTCTGATGCACCATACATGCCAAGCATCCATGCAAAAAGCACAAAACAAAGGAGAGTTCAATGAGTGACGAGGGTCAGATGCAGATGCAATGCATCATAAGCCATAAACCAGAATCAAACACAATCACAATCACAAGCACTCGCTATATCATCAGTCTGATACAATACATAATCCACCAAGCATATCACATAGGAAACATCGCGAAAAGCCAAACGAATCACATAAAGTCATCAAATCAAACAGGGAACTTCACCCCGGTCCGATCCGTACACCTAGGCTGCGACAACACCCTAGGCAAGGCCCTGGCCTTAGGATCCTGGTTAAATCTCAAGCGATCACGCTTCAGATTAAATAGCCTGACCATGCAACTCATCGCCTGCTCCTCGGACAACTGCATCGCCGGCAGAGCACTGACACTACTGCTGTTGTCCAGCGGCAGATCCTTGATACACGCCGCAACCATCCAGCGCACCAACACCTCCACATCCCGAGCATTGCTCCAGCAAGGGAACATGGACAGGATCTGAATGGCGCGGGTGAACTCGCGATGGCTAGGCGCGCGCGGGTCCGTTAGGTACAACCGGGGACCCTTGATCTGCTGCTCATCCAGCTTGCGGTCCAGCAGACGGAGACATTCGCGTGGTGTCGGGTTGCGGAAGACAATCTCTTCCTGGAACAGGGCAGACAGGCGTGGCCGGTTGGCCAGCAACTGGTCCATCTCCTGGGCCGGTCCGGCCAGGATCACCACCATGGTGGAGGCGTACTTGGGCAGCAGGTAGACTAGCTCGTCCACGGCCTGCGTGGTGTCGGTGTCGGCTAGTCTATGGGCGTCTTCGATGAAGAGCACTTTGCCCTTGTTTTGGTCGAGTTGCGACCGGGACCGCGCCGAGGTCGGGTGGACGTTGGGTGCTAGTAGGTCGGCGACCGAGCATGGCACCAGGGCACCATCGCTGAGAGCGCCCATTTTGTAGTACAGAGTTCCTAGCTGACGGGCGACGGTCTTCTTACCGGTGCCTATGATATTGTTAGTCGTCGTGTGGGGAAATGGACGGAAAAGGAATGTATTACCTGGTGCACCCTTGAATACAAATGCAGCGGGCATGCGTGCGCCCGGATCCAGCCCCTGCAGCCAGGCGGCCTTCATCTCGTTGTGATACCGCTTCAAGATGGAGATGATGTCGTCCGGCACGATGGAATGGCGCAGCTCTTCACGGAAGACCAGCGCCGTCGTGCCGCCCACCAGCTCCGGGTTAAAGTCGCGTCCCTCGAGGAGACGTTCCACCGGCTGGGCGCTGGCGCCGGTGCGCGACCGACGCTCAAAGTGATAGATGGCCGCAGCGAGGAGATGCTCGACGGCGCGAGCATTGTCAAAGTCCTTGCGCATACGGGCATTGTCGAGGGTGTCCATGGCGGCCTGGAAGGCCTCTGGGGTGGCATCGAGATCCTGCTCGTCGAGCTTGCTTTGGAAGAGCTCTTCCATGTGCTCGCGTGTCAACGCGGAGAAGCGCACCAGATGTGTCTCAAACCCGCGGGCTTTGGGACCCGCGCGATGCAGGAACTGGCTGATGCTGTCGTGCGTACCGACCAGGATGGTGCAGTGATTGTCGCGCGGCGCTGCGAGGATGTCGACGACCGTGTCCGGCACGGTCGGGCGCTCCTGGCGATCGGTGTCGACGTCGACAACGAGGACATTGCCGATCGTCGACTCGACGGTCGCACGGAGTTGGTCTTCCGGCAGATCACAGAGAGCCGACAGCGGTTTGACACGGACTACACTCGTTAGCAGTTTTGCTATACTAATCTTGGGCGGGTGCTTACCTTCTCCGCTGTTCAACACTCCCAAGTCCACCAGAATCTGGGCGTACATCCGGATGGCCGTGCTCTTGCCAGTACCTGGAGGCCCCGCAAAGATGCGATTGACCCGCAGCGGCAGACGACGCTGGTTGCGGATCTCGCGGTAGTAGTTCTCCTCGGTCGTGTCGAAAACTTCAGCCACCGACGTCTTGACGGCGTCCTGACCGATCAGCTTCTGCATGGCTTCCCAGGCTTCGCTGGTCGACCGGGTCTCCGCCGGGCTGGGGCCGAGAACGTCGTCCTTGGAAAAGAAAAAGTAGTCCACCTCGTCCATGCCGCTATCCTGCTGGTCGGTCAAGCACTGGGCCTGACGCTGAGCAATGCTCTTGACCATCTCGCGCACGGCATGGGCGTTGGTGAACCCCTTGGCGGCACGCCCCCGGACCAGCCGGCGAGCTGCAGCCTGCATGTAGGTGCCCTCGAGACCCCCTCAACCTGCATGCGACCGTTATATTCGGTGATAATGCGGCGGGCCAGCAGCTGCGTCAACTGCTGGCGGTCAAAGTCGTTGAATCGCAGCGAGCTGCAAATCCGTTGCTGGAGGGCGGGGTTCTCGCGCAAGAAGCTATTCATCTCGTCGGCGTCGCCAGTGAAGATGACAATGATGCGACCGATGTTGCGCTCCATCGCGTGCCGGATATCCTCGAGAGCCTGCTCGGTGGCCGGGGTCTGGGGCGCGTCCATCAGGGTGTGGGGATGGTCGACGATGAGCACTCCGGATGTTTGCACCGGAGCTTTGGCGTCCGTCATGTTGCGCAGCAGTTGCTGCACTCCGTCGGGACCCCGGCTGGCCAGATCGGCGCCAGTGGTCTCACAGACGGTATGGGAATCACAGATACCCATGGCGTACAGCATCTTGGCATAGATGCGGGCGACGGTGGTCTTGCCTGTGCCGGGATTCCCCAGGAAGGCGATGTTGTACCACTCGCTCTTCGGGTCGCGTCCATGACGACGGCAAATCTGCACCCAGGTCTGGACGCCGTGCAGCTGGCGTTTGACGTTGTCGTGGCCGACCAGACTGTCCAGCTCCTGGACTGCCTCTTCACGGGCCGTCTCACGATTTTGACGGTCGCGCTCAGCCAGTTCCTCTGCTGTCGGCTGAGGAGGGACCGGAGTCCGAGGCAAACTCTCGGGCTGTCGTTGTGATTGTGTTTCGGGCTCTGATCGGGCAGGAGCCTGAATCTGTGTCTGGGATGATTGTGCCATGATGCGTGGCGAGGTCTGCGCCGCAGTCTGTGTCGCCGCAGTGGATTGCTGCGGTCGCTTGGAGGACCACAGCGAAAAGGGGAAGAAGGGGAACCGCGAAGTCGATGACGGCCGGGTCATCGAGCAGTCCATGTTGTTTCGAAACGGATAGACAAACAGTCGTGCAAGGAAAGGCCCGACAATCGGGAGCATGAAGGGATGGAAGATGAAAGACTTGGTCATTCACAGGGGAGTAAAGCAGCAGATGGTCATGAGGGGAATATTGCAGTGTTGGAAAATCTCCTGGAGCCAGCGTCCTCATGGCCATATTTAACAGCCATGTCGGCTGGGCAGCAGAAATCCCCGAGAAGTGGAAGTGAAGCAGTCCGGCAGTCATGGAAGGGAAGTTCAGTCAGACACCATTCTTTCCGGACTGCCTATGACGGGGCGACAGGTAGTGTGTGGCCGGAAGCCAGCCATGGTTGGTCGTTTCCGGGTTTGGACGAAAAGTGAAGCCATTCACCGCCACTTGTGCAGCCCAACGGCCAGGCAAAGCATCCTGTCATCGGGACGAGCTTGTTCGGGTGGAGCTGATCTGGGGGAATGATGGCTGGTGTCCTGGAGAGACCTGATCCAAGTGTCGCGAATCGACCTTGCTGAAACACGAAACATGAAACAATGAAGAAGCAGTATGGAGACCAGGGGACGCCCTGGCCAAGGGGCAGGCATCCATGTCGATGGGGGGGATGCTATCGTGATGCGGTAGATTGACAGCCAGCAGGTCAAGCTACAGGGCTGCAATGGAACCAGTCGAGATAGAGAATAGGGTAACTGCAGACTAGTTGCTGATCTGGCGCATCGGCAGCCTATCAGTTCCCCGGCCAACTCATCCACTGAGCCACTTTGAGCTGTCGCCTCGTCCGACTTTCCCAAATCAATTCTTCCCTGCATTTCTGATTATTCCTCCGGCTGTTACTTATGATGGGTCTCTCTCCGCCTGCGGGCCATCTTCGACCTTCGTGTTCTCCTCTTTTGCCTGGCTTTCTTGCTCCAGGCACCAGATGAGACTAGATACAGCCTGTGGAATGCGGTGCGGAGCACGTCTAACGTCATTCCTCCGGTTCTCTCCTGTGACTCACTCGAAGAGATGCTCCTCTTCGCTGCTGAACAACATGTGATGCGAGAATAAACCCTGAGTCTATCGCGGTTGCCGCTGCCTCAGGCTGTCGATAGAATGGAGGCGATGGACAACCCGATCAGGCCCAACTGATCCAACTGGTCCAACCTCTCTGAGTGCGGCCTAATCGAGTGAACAGCTGGCTCGCCTTGTCATTGTCAATGGGATCAGCTTACTTGGAGCATCCACCTTGCTGAAAATAGACGACGCTATTCATAATCCATAATCCGGTTTTGCCTTGCGATCGCACCCGAGATACCCAAATCATACCTGAGGCATCAAGGCACGACATCGGTGGTGTGCTCGACTTGGGACTCTCTGAGTAGTCAACGACGAGGGTTGTCACTTCAATCGAATCACTGGCAACAGCTCCTTCCGTCAGATTCGAGATTAGAATGCCATCGATAGTCCTCTGGTGCAATTTGCGCACGCGACACTATCCGCTGTCAATATCTCCCCCGCTCTGGGCCACCCCTCACTACCCACGGCTTACACGACCATAATCCTACGGTCGCATTCATCATCGGCGCCTTCTGATCGCTTCCCAATTGATGACCTCTATGATTCCAAGACAAAAATCAAAGCAGATACTCTGTTAAGAGGCCTGGGCTTGAAGATGGAGGAGAACATAGTGGTGGGGCCATGACTTGGGCGGTGAGAGTCACGATCCTTCGCGGTAGACTGACTTATAAGAGGGAGAGTTAGAATCAAAGCAAATAGGTATATATATTGAGAGTAGTAGTAGTATTAGGGAAGTAGAGTGAGTAGTTTCAGCATTACATTAACTGATTGTCTCATGTCGGGCACTCCGATGTACTCTCACACGGTAACTGGATAAGCATCACATTAGCGATTATATATTTTCAGAATGTTCCTGCCCTCCTCACTATCGTCATTAGTAGTTTTGGTCTCATGAGTAGTTGTTTTCGTGACTACGTTAGTACCAGAAGTAGTAGTACTACTATTAGGATCTGGGTGTCATCCTCATCTAGTATCTAGTAGGCCCTAAAAAAAAGGAAAGGAAAAAAAAAAAAAAAAAAAAAAAAAAAAAAAAAAAACCGATCTATCGCGACCTGTTAAAGTGAAATTGGAGAGTATAAGTCGCTATGATGAGACTTAGATAAAACAATATACATTGACCAACCCACCAATATATACGCCGAACCTAACCTACCATATAAGTACCCTACAGAAAAACTACCTACATAAACTATTTACTAGTAGCATCATCTACTCTAAAACAGCAGACACCACCATCGACGCATACTTCTTCACCCCCGTCTTAGCCGGTCTCGCCTCGACATCCGCCACTTCAGCATAGAACCGACGAGGACCATCGAGATCGATCGTGCTCGCATCCACCCACCACCGTCCACGGTAGTAGCAACGCGCCCCGATATACAGCACCACGATCGCCACCACCGATACATAGTTGGCGAAGAAGCCCTTGGCCGTGGGGTTGCCGCCCAGTGGCCACAAACTCAGATAGAACTCGGCGATGATGAGCAGAATGCACCAGGTTAAGCCCCAGATGGCGCCGTAGGGGTAGGTCCAGGACCGCCAGGGGAGGTCGTCGACGGAGCGGCCTTGGATCTTCCAGGCGTAGCGCATGCGGAGATGCGAGAGGCAGATGGTGCCCCATCCGAAGAGCGTGAAGAGGGAAGTTAGGTTTGAGAACCAGGTGAAGACCGTTGAACCCTTGTTGTTCACGTTGAGGTAGGCTAGACCGCCGCCGATGACGAGCGTGATGACGAGTCCGGCGACGGGACGACCGGCTTTGTCGGCTTTGCCGAAGATCTAGGTTTGGTAGGGTAGAGGAGTCAGTTGAGGAGATCAGGAGAGACAAGTAGTTGATGAATTAGATAGTCAAGGGGTTACAGGGACACCAACCTTTGGCGCGAGCTTGAGATGCGTCAATCCCATCAGTGTTCGTGAGCCACCATAGGCAGAAATACTTCCCGTGGACAGCACAGAGATGAAGATCACCGCGTTCATGATGTGAGCCAACGGAGCAAGACCCGCGTTGCGATAGGCAATGACAAATGGCGATGCGTTGACGCCGCTACCGCCAAAAAGATTAGGATCCTTCGGTGACACCGTGATGGTGATCATCAGCGATCCCAGGACGTAGAACAGCGACAGGCGCAACCAGATCGAGCTCACGGCGCGTGGCACCGCCTTGCGCGGATTGTCGGTCTCTGCTGCAACCAGCGCCGAGTTCTCCGATCCGGACATGGCGAAAATACAGGTGGGCATGACAGACAGGAAGCCTTTGAAGCCGTTGGTGAATGGCATCGAGTTCCAGTAACGGAAGCCGATCGGTCCTTCGTCGGGTGCTCCGCCGGCCGAAACCACTATCAAACACGAGATGGGTATGCGTCAGTTGGAGGGCTAGGTGAGAAGAAGAAACATGCGCATGTGACTAACCGATGAGAGAAATAATGACCACGAAGATCCATCCGAACTTGATAGAGGAGGCAATGACCTCTACCTCGCCAAAGAACCGGACCGCAAAGACGTTTATGAAGATAATCACCACCCAGAAGATTGTAATCCAGGCCGCAGTTGGCACCTTGTCCGTCCAAAAGTTAAGGACCGTGACGATACCCTAAGCAGTTAGCACAAGACTCCTGGCCACGCAGAATACGGAGTCCTACCTGAAGTTCGTTTGCGATCGTGATGAAGTAGGAGAACCAATACGCCCAGCCCAGCGCAAAGGCCGCCGATCTGTCGATGAAGATCTCCGTCCACTGGGTGAATGCAGACGGCAGAGGATACATAACGGCCATCTCGCCGATCGAGTGACTGACGGACCAAATCATCGTGCCACTCAGCAGGTAGCCAATGAAGATGGCAGCCGGACCACCATCCGCCAGCGATTCACCACTTCCCAGCCATAACCCCATACCAATCGATGACCCCAGCGCAATCATGGTCAAATGCCGTGTAGAAAGGCTCCGTTTGAGATCGGTTTCGGCTCCGTAGTCGACATCCACGGAGCCCCAGCGCTCCATGGGCTCGCCTTTCTTCTCGGCATCCTGAGGGCTCCGATTACTCGACGTTTCGTAGGCCGCCATGGTAGAGTGATCGGCCATCATGAAGGGATGGTGGATACAATAGGGGAATAGTGGCCTATATGAAAGATGATGAAAGCGACAGGAATCAGCAAGCCTCGTCAAGTCCAGCCGGGGGTACCGGGATGATTATAACACCGCCACCACAGCTGTGCAGCACAAGGCACGAGCCTACGTCTCCCTCCCAATCACACTTGCGTGTCTCAGCGACCGATATACTTGCCAGATAAGAGGCCTCTATCAGGCCATTATTGGGCTTGGCGAGTATCTGGCAAGAGATAAAGATAACACCCCTGTCTTAGTCGTATCGTGCGTGCCGCATACTTTTATTAGCATCTTGCTCCGGACGAACTAACACAGGCGCAGAAACCTTCTGGAAGTATAGCTGACGCCATGATCTTGGAGTAGCATCGCTGATAACCAAAGCCCCGGCTACCAATCGTAGCGCTGAAACCGTGGGTCGTTATCAGAACCACACGGTCTGTGCCATCAGCTGATATGCATCCTCCAGATCCATCTGGACAATCGGGCGTGCCATGTTATCTTTGTCCTCTAGTTGCCGCAAATGAAACCTCTCCGAGAGCGCCTCGTGGGCTCTCCAGGTCGAAAGCGTTACATTATAGACCTCGAAAGGCTTGGGGCGGAGGGGACGATAGGTGGTACAGCCAATGTGGGCGAAGGCCCGAAACGGTCAGTCCCCCAATAGATGACCACCGCATGTCATAATCGCGTGGGTTGAGCATGGAAAGGCTATCCCCGACGTGTCCCATATCCCTTACATCTTGGACGCCGGGACCGGCGGTAACACAATGGGCAACCGACCTGGTAGGTGAGACAGCGGGGGGCAAGGCTGGGTTGTTCCAGACCTAACCAATAGTGCGGAGTACATGAAGACCGAAGAAGAAGAGCGGAGCTTAACCTGTCGTCAGGGGGTCAAGACATCCGCTATCGGTGTTTGGGCGAGAAATGGTTATCTCTGGCAGCGGTAGATAGACACTGACTGTAGTCTGGTTGTTATCTCTCTCCAGTTGGGGTAATTTGACGCGTAGACCGGCAAGCCAATCAGAGCCGGAGCAAGAAATTAAATAGAGCTTGGCTTCTTCGGCCCCTCTGAGGGGTTGTGGATTAAGCTATTGATTTAGCCTTCGCGGCCTGCAGAGCTGTTGCTGCGCCGCCTGCATCCAGCTACCTGGGACGGGCCATTGGCTCATCGCAAACATCCCCGGAAGTGGTGTCAGACCGGCATGCGATGAGCAAGTCGGGTAGCCACGGAAGTAAGGGCACGTCTGCTTGCTTTCAAAGTAGTTTAGAGTGAGTTGACAGTAAACTCTCGTACTCTTGTGGTACAGAGTCACTTCATGGGATGTTGGCCGTTCAGTGGTGGGTGAGTCGCCGATCGGGCGCTGGCCCGCAAGGCAATCACAATAATAACTTCAGTGGCTGCCATATCCTACCTGCCATTGCAACCTCGCTGGCCATGCAACACGTGCGTAACCGATCGAGGTTTTATGATCTTGCATGGAGAGCTTAATCCCTCAGGTAGCTGGTTTGCGTCCTCCAAAAACCCCTGTTGCATTTGTCCTGTAGACGAACCCTCCAAAGATGACCTGGGTCCCCTGCACTGTATACGGTCGCATAGCTCAGTTTCACAGTCGTCTCCCATTTCCAATACTTAGAACAAAGGAATTAAAGTTACAACCACCGTGGAACATTCTTTTTTCCTTTTCCTCTCGCCCCGGGGGACAGTGTTCTCGAAAGGTCTCGAAAGGGTGATGTCTCCTGCATCTACCTTGGCAGCTGTATCAGATTTGGCTTCAGCTCACCGCCAATTCAGCGGTCAGTGGATATTCCAGGACTGACAGAGAAGCCGGACATCGTAGTCAGACCTGCTGAGGCAATGCCCGAAGCTGTAATACCTGCGGCCGAAGCATTGTCCCTTGCGTCTCGTCTCGAACCTGGAACCCCCCATTATTAGATTGTGGCTACTGACCTGATTGAGAGTCGAGACTCACTCGTCCTCGAAATTGGCTAGGACAGCATTGAGGTGCTGTGGAATATGCTCTCTCATATTGAACCCACCAGATAGTGTCGCCACTGCTTGCACTTGTTTATCGCTGCTTTGGTGCCTTCAGCTATCCTGGACATGTCATTGTAGTCACGAACCACCCGTTGAGCGATGGACCATGACCAGTTTTAGCAACTGACTGAAGTTCTTATAGTAATCCATGTTTTCTTTGTGTCGATGTGCATCAATGCCATACCAAACCTTTTGGGCGACGAACAAGGAAGCCCAAAGAGCGTTCAGCTACCACACAAATATGAGCAAAGGTAGCTAATGAGCTGTTATCGCCATGACATGAAATGGACTGAAGGAGAAAGGTAGGTGTAAAGCAATTGTTCTCGCATGATTGATCCAACTTAGCATAGTAATCATATCGTCGTACTGGTCCTTGAGCGTCCTCGAGACATTTCCAGATTGAGGGAGGCAGGAAACTCTTGGACGAGCAAGCAAAGTCAGTACCAGACTGTTCATATAATCTTCAGAGCCGAGTTCACGATGAGCGTCAACTCCCAAATGCACGCATCAATTCCGCGAAGGGGGCCACTTTGGCCGGAGCTTCATAAGCGGTGGTGAGTCATTTAGTAGACCACTCCTTGACTGGGAATCAGAGTCTCCGTCCTCCACATTCCCCACCGGTGATGTTGGCGCTCAGATCATGCTCCTAGACATGGAGCTAGTGGAGAGCTGCTTTATAAGCGATCGGAAGCATTCCTTGTACAAATGTCATCATGCAGTGTATACTGCTTCGGTTAGGCTACTGGCAGAGTCTGCCATAACACCAGCTATTCGAGAGTGGATTGTATCGCACAAGTTAGTTCTATTGGGATGTTTAATAGCTGTATACCGTTCCACTGACTCTCCGGGGCATTTTGAGTCCCTCTGAGGTCTGCGCAGCAAATGATTGCGGAGCGAGGAACCACTAGTGCAGAGAAGGATCGCAATTTAGCATATTAGCGACTTGCCACTGCTGATTGAATCGCCAGGTAGAATTTGAATTGCTCTTCCAACGACGAATTTGTAAGACTGCCAATTTTGGTCATGAAAGGCATGTCGCAACTTCTTTCATCAAGCACTTCCAGCAACATAATTGCCTGCATGTGCGAGCGCCCGTCTATAATGCAAAGCTCATAGCACATACGGATTGTCCCTGGTTCCATAAAGGCGGCATTGCTCCCCGATGGGCAGACACTCTATAAATTATAGAGCAGAAGGCAGTTGGGATCATCTGGTGCATCTCACATTCCCTTATTTGTCGCATGAGCAGTAGACGCACGTAGGCACTTTCCAGACTCCGCTTAAAGGTGAATACGAGGAGTAGGCCAAGCATTCGAGTCGCAATCATACTCAGAAGAGCATCACCCTGGTCTGTAGGCTGATCATCACTGTCGGCTGAGATTACGACAGGATTGAGAAATTTCTCAAAGATATTACTGTATCTTTTCCAAAATTCCAGCTACCTCTCTCAGGTAGTCTGGAAATCAGATTAGGAAGCAGTAGATACCACCTAGCAAGTCTTCTGGGGATCTCAAAACAACTTGTGTTTCCACTGGTAGATACTTCCACGAGAGGGGCCGTCCAGACTGTCCATGTGCTCAGTTTTACCACCATTTCTTTTCACCAGGTGGTGCTTTCCGGATTATTCTTCCTATGTAGCATGGTGCCCATGATTGTATTCGTGTCAGGAAATTCCACGGTTATTCTGCCGACACATGGACTTTTATAACTAATGCAGTCAAGAGCTATGACCAAAACACTGACTGCGCCAGGATATTTCCCATTGGCCATGGAGCGCCTCCCAGGTGATCATAGGTCATAAGTGCAAAGTAGCCGAAGCCATGGACTGGGCTTATCGGTTAGTGCAGCCACACCCAGGCAGCCACTTTGATAGTGTCTAAAACTCGTGTCCTGCAGAGCGTGCTATACAACTTTCAGAAATCCCCGATTGGGGGTGGCTCAACGAGATCATGTAGGGTAATGGATGAGAATGATAACGGGCGAATGAGCGATAGAGAAAGTCAAAGTTGGGGCCATGAGATATACACGTGTGTTTGGGTTGCTAGCAACCATCACGTTGCATTTTCTTTGATTGGACATGACCGGAGAACCGAGCTCCGTTTTCATGGTCTAATATACTACTTATGTGTCAAAGTGGCCGAGCGTACGATACGTTCAGCCTTCCTTTTCGGCACTATCTGGAGAACCCAGGATGGCGAGGTGTCGGCCTGTCGGATGCACATGCCATCATTCTCAAGCGAGGCCTTACCGAGACAGACAGGATGCAATGACGAGAGCTAGTAGTAGACTAGGCCTCCTGGAGAGGTAGGTCATGGGTGATAATAATTACTCCGCATGGGGACTCCAGAAAATGGGCCCTTAAGTTCCCAAGCAGGTTCAATTCACCCGAAATCGGTTAAAATGGCATTCAGCCGGACGGCAGGCACAAAGAGGGAAAATCTCCGTCGCAAGAATCAACCGACTGGATCCGGGGCCGTGAGGCCCTCCACTCGGGAGGCAGACCCCCATCCGTCCCCGGATCCTCTGATTCGTGCTCCATCCTGAATCCCCGGACCTCCGCATTATAGGTCCCGGCGATCCTTCCTCTTTTCGGGGTGTATCGGCCATGCGTGTCTCGCACCACCCACTGCACCGCGAGTCCGTCCGTGACGCCATGCCGTTGAAGCCGTACCGGCGCGATGCAGCTTCGGCAGCTACTTCCTAATTGTCCTCTCTATAAATGTGGCCCGGGTCCCGGGTTGCTTCGCCGCATTCTCGCCCGGTTGCAGTCCACTCGTCGTGAACAGCTCGGTGAGACCGTTGGACATCATGTATACCATTTCGAATATCTACGGTATGACTGCATGATTGACAGTGACCGTCCTGTTCAGGCTAACGGAGATACGCAGTGCTTGCTGGCTTCGGCACTATCGGTGGTGCCTTGTTCGGCTTCGATGTCAGTTCCATGAGTGCCTGGATTGGCACGGATCAGTATCTGGAATACTTCCACTCTCCTGATTCCGACTTGCAAGGTGGTGTAAGTAACCAAGTCCTTCAATGTGTGAAAATGGGCACAATTGACTGATCATGAATCGCATCCTTTCTAGATCACCGCTTCCATGTCTGCTGGCTCCTTTGCCGGTGCTCTCGCTGCCGGCTTCATATCAGACCGAATTGGTCGTCGCTACTCCCTCATGCTGGCGTGTTGCATCTGGGTCATCGGTGCTGCCGTTCAGTGTAGTGCCCAAAACGTCGCCCACCTGGTTGCCGGGAGAGTGGTCAGCGGTTTGGCCGGTACGGTTTTCAGCTATCTTTCTGGGATCACGATAAGCTAACCGATGCTATAGTCGGTATTACATCCTCACAGGTTTGCGTCTATCTCGCCGAACTAGCACCCGCTCGTATCCGTGGCCGTATTGTCGGTATCCAGCAATGGGCTGTTGAATGGGGTATGCTCATCATGTATCTGATCTCGTACGGATGTGGCAAAGGTCTGGCTGGAGCAGCATCTTTCCGAGTTTCGTGGGGAGTCCAGGGTATCCCAGCCCTCATCCTGCTTGCCGCATTGCCCTTCTTCCCTGAATCGCCTCGTTGGCTGGCAAGTAAAGAGCGGTGGGAGGAGGCTTTGGATACTTTGGCTCTACTGCATGCCAAGGGTGACCGCAACGATCCCGTGGTTCAAGTGGAATACGAAGAAGTGCAGGAAGCAGCACGCATTGCCCAGGAGGCTAAGGACGTTTCATTCCTTTCCCTGTTCGGACCAAAGATTTGGAAACGTACTGTTTGCGGTGTCAGTGCTCAGGTCTGGCAGCAGTTGCTCGGGGGCAATGTCGCGATGTATTACGTCGTGTATATCTTCAACATGGCTGGGATGGTAAGTCTGCCTTGTACTTCAGGCAGATGCCCTTGAAACCGAACTGACAGGTCTTTTTAGTCTGGAAACACAACTCTGTACTCGTCGGCCATTCAGTACGTAATCTTCTTGGTTACAACAGGTTCTATCCTGCCATTCGTTGATCGCATCGGTCGACGAACTTTGCTTCTCACTGGATCGGTCCTGTGCATGGCCTGCCATTTCGCTATTGCTGGTCTTATGGCTTCACGTGGTCATCATGTTGACTCTGTCGATGGCAATGCGAACCTGAAGTGGTCGATTACAGGACCGCCCGGCAAAGGTGTCATTGCTTGCTCATACATCTTCGTTGCTGTTTATGGATTCACCTGGGTATGTAGCTGTCCAATCTCTCGAGACGATTCAAAATCGGCCTCAGCTAACGTGACCTGATGTAGGCCCCCGTAGCGTGGATCTACGCTTCTGAAGTCTTCCCTCTCAAGTACCGTGCCAAGGGTGTCGGTCTCTCGGCTGCGGGTAATTGGATCTTCAACTTCGCGCTGGCGTACTTTGTGGCACCTGCTTTCACCAACATTCAGTGGAAGACCTATATCATCTTCGGTGTCTTCTGCACTGTGATGACGTTCCATGTGTTCTTCTTCTACCCAGAGACTGCTCGACGGTCGCTTGAAGACATTGACTTGATGTTTGAGACCGATATGAAGCCCTGGAAAACATACCAGATCCATGACCGCTTTGGCGAAGAAATTGAGCGGCACAAGCACAAGGACATGGTTGATCAGGAGAAGGGGGTTGTGTCGACTCATGATGAGATGGCGTGATGAACTGTATTTATTTAGATGAGTTAGCGATTGTATATGAGAACAGAGAACGATTGTATGGAAGCATAATGGAATGTAATCCATAGTGAATCAAGAATGCTGGAGCGAAGTAATGGCTAAACTTTATGATCCAGTGTAAGTGATCTGAGGCCAGTTAATTGAAGTCAATCAGCGAGATTCCAGGCCAATGCGACGTGCTCTAATACTAATCGAGTGAATCGGTCCTTCCCAATACTGTGCTTGTGTAAGTACAGTACCTAGTCGTCCGTGAGAATCTGAATACTCAGTACTTATAGTAATCTGCAGGTAGCTGGTGAATCTGGACAGTCTATTTATCTTCAAATTTTATATTTTGGTGTCTATACTCCATTCATCATGTGGGTACTACAAGCGCTCGTCGATCGGGTGTCTAATTTGAAGAACATAAGCATAAAGATAGTAAGTAGTACTACTCGTACCGATAATGAACAAATAGTCGCCTCCAGTACGAGGTGAATAGTGGACCCCGACAGACCACCGATCAACAATTTTGACGATCCAGAGATCTTGATGCAGCTGCCAAACCAGGGTATCTGTTGTTCTGGCCAACCGCACATACTATTTCCTCTTCTGGCCAAATCGAGTCTCATGGAGCCTTCATTATAACCGATTGGTGGAAAATTAGAAATTCGCATTAATTGAATAAGTCAGGTGACATATTCCACTTATCTCAGCTGTGACGTACTTATGCACATCCGATGGACGGCAAACGCAAATCTACCATGACGTCATCCCAGTCCCCTCGACGTGTCCCTCGCCATCTGTCACTTGATCACAGCCACCGATAGAGGAACCAAGTCTGCAATCTATGTGCCAGAACCTGATATCTACTGTATATAGACACTGCAATGCATTTGCGCTTGGCAAAACCACATACGTCATGCCGTCCCTCATCCAGACCACCTTACCACACATATATCCTTTCGAGCGGAGCATCGAGGAGCACCATGTTCGGAACCATTCTCCATCAACCGTGACTTCTCTGGAACATACCTCGTTCATCCTGAGTTAAACAATACCTCCTAAACTATCAAAATGGACTCTATCAAGCAAACCATGGGTACGACGCCCAATCACACTGAAGAAGAACAGCGCAAGCTATATGACAGCCTCCCTGCCGAGCAACGCGATAAGCAGTCATTCACGGAGTGGGTAAAAGAAGCCTACAACGAGCAATACGAGAAGTGGGTGCCTTGGCTGGAAGATCAATATCTTAAGTGGTTTGGCAAAGGTGATAACAAGGCTTCCTACGTGACCAAGGGTGCGCTAGAATCATTGCTATTACCTGCCCTTCATGCGTATGCTAACTATTGCGATCAGACAACCTCTCCAAGACCAAGGTCACCGGCGTCAAGCAAGTCGATCAGATCCAAGACGACGTAAATAATCTCGTTGGAAACCAGTTGGGCGAAAACGGTCTGCTGGCTCCAGTTGGTAACATGGTTTCAAAGGAAGGTTTCAATCGCGCTGAGCGTGGAGGTAAAGATGAAAATGGCTCTTATGGAGGCCCTCTTGGAGGAGCAACCGATCCCATTGTCGATAACTCCAAGAAGGCTGGCCAGGGACTGGCCACTGGAATACAGTCGGCTGGGTCCTCTGTTGCTAGCGGAGCCAAGAGTTGGGGGAGCGCGATCCCAGGATTTGGCAGCAAGTGAGATGGTACTTGAGCATGTGTCTGCCTGGTAATATGATATGATAAGATGGTATGATTCAACGGCCTACTATGACTTCTTTCGGCTTTTCTGCTTTCTTCATGCATCCAAGAATTTGCCATATCTTTTTAATCTGATTGTATAATCAAATATCCTGTATATCTTAGCTTCCGGACTAGTACCTCGTCCTTCTCGAATATACATGATGCCGGTTAATGAAGCACCAAACTTTGGTGGCATTGATTCAGCGTAAGAAGATACCAGTGTACTTCCTCGATATCCAGCCAAGATAGATTCGCGACCTTCACCTCAAAGAGCATCAAGCAGAAACAGATATCTCTCATAGTCATTTAAGCAGTAGAAGTAACACAGCCGGGAGGGCCTGGCGTGATGGTCTCCGTGCAAGTTATCACAAATCAAAAATGAATCTCGCCCTTACGAGCAATATCTAGACCTACAATTGCGTCACAGACCAGTCAACTTCTCTTAGGAAACCAAGAATGTAAGCAACTTCATACTCAAGATGATCCCCAACTCTCCCACGAGGAGCAGTAGCAGTACACCAACGAGGGCAGAATCAGTATGGCCTTAATACCTGTACACCGCTTCTCAGACCGTCACAAGCGGCAGAACCTAACGAACCTCGAGCGAAAAGCTTCGGGTTTTGCGGAATTTGGAAACGTACAGTCCCAGAAAAAGGACCTCAAAATTTGTATGGAAAGGCGGTAGCAGAAAAAAGCCCTCTGGCCTCAGGCAACGAATTGCATCTCGGATTTTGATCTATGACATTCTTCCACATCACATAGAACGTTCTGTATCTCACCGTGATATCACCTCCTTTACGCAGTGCAGTGGTTATGATGAAAATTCGACTTCAGCTCAAACCCAATATCTGCGGGATAATGCTATTGTAGCGAAGCTTGCGCTACTCGGATCGAGACAGCCATACTGCGGGCAGTTTGTGACCCACTTTATCCACATCTCGAAGACACAATTATTGATAACCAGGGGCAGGAGAAGGTTTCATGATGTTGGCTTTGCGGGAATGGTGATGGTGGCGTTGAGAGATGCGTCATGAGTTTGCGGACCTTCTTGGGAACTTAAACGTCATTTACGGGCAGTTAGTGGTAAGGGGGTAGTATTTAGAGGGGGAGGTTGGTCGCTGTGCTTGAGTAAACATATAATTGTAAAATGATGATCTGATTAACATATCGCAATATACATAGAACTTTCGAAGTGAAAGTGAGTCTCAACACTTCCTCAATCTATGCATATCTAACATCTACAGCAATAACCATCAAGATGCCGCACACCAAAACAGATACCGCATTCCGATACCCCCAGAACGAAGACCAGAGCCGTCGTCTTCGCAACACCACCCAGGATCAAAGAGCCGCTCAGAGGCAGCAATACTCATCGGAGTCAGCCACTGCGGCATCCCTGGCAGCCGATCCAACCTCTAACTGGGGTCCGGAGGAATTCTTCGAGACCACCGTCGATGAGTACGGTCAACCGGTCACTGACCAGTGGGCGTTCACGGATGGTGCGAGGATGAGTAGAGGCGTCTCTGGTCATGATGAGGCCGATGCTTTTGAGGCTGCAAATGATAAGTTTGATTGAATTTAGTTTGAATTGAGGCCGTATGGGCAGAGTGGTGGTGATCTATCAGTTATATAATAATGCTTACAATGAACATGTAATCTCCTTTATCTAACATCGTATAAATATCGTCGAGAGTTTCCATGCATGTAGCCGTAGTAGTTGGCTAGCGTTAGACCTGCTTATCGACTTCTCCGACTTGATAGTGGCCGGCCCGCCACCCGTGCTGGAGTGACAAGATTTGCCCCGTAATTAAGCCCTTAATGGTAAAGATGTGATTCGCAATCCAAATGATAAGGAGTATGATGGTCAAAGCGGTCGACCACACCTTGAATGCAGGCGAGTCCATGACTTTGCCAAGCTGGACGGCGGCATTGGTGTAGACACCCTGCAACATGTTGTAAGATAATGATGAATCTCAAAGGTAAATGTACACTCACCCACGGAAATACCAGAGACCAAGCTGAAAGTGAATATTGTATCCTCCGCCAACCCCCTGGTTGTTTGATAGCCGTATGCAGAATGCTTATGATGGCGTAGCTCCACCAGAAGGTTCCGTAGCCCCAAGACAACAGACCAGCCAACTGGCTGGCATAGCCAATTGGGGTCGCTGCTTCAGCGGTTAAGAATGACCCCCGGTTGTATTCTGCAAATGCCCCAGACCGTACGACCTGCCCGAGAATCAGCAGCGCAAAGCTGCCCTGTCCAAACGGGCCACAGAGAATCATATCTTGATAGACCTGTTCCATGGGCATAAATTCGCGCTCGAAGAGACGCGCAATGAAGACATCAGCAAAGGACATTGCCAACGGAATACCGACACCGACTTCAAGGTATGCTACAATGATGGTCGGGACTTGCAGCCGAGCGCCAATTCCACTATACTCACATACAACACCTCCGCCAGCGGCGGAGGTTAGCGCACATATCAATGGAAGCAAAACAGAAGGTACGACAGCCTTGATTCCGGGAGCTTGTAGCTTCACGAAAATGTATGGTATTCCCATAACAGCAATCAGAGCCATAGCCGTGTTAATCCACCACAGGACGTATGAGGCCATTGGCCATCTTGCACCCCATTGCTGGGCAACGGCCAAGGCGATCATTTGAATGATAGTTGTGAGCGTTATAGAGACGCTAGTGAGACATGATACCTCCACCATGCTTGCCCGGAGTGCTCGTGCGACGTGCCGTGGATACATGAAGATTCGCGCAAGGTAGACGGATATGCATAGTGCCAGGAGCACGATTGTATACACCCAAACTATCACAGAGATAATACGCAGACCATGGAATTGATAGTCCAGTTGATGAAGAATAATGGCTATTACACCAGTACCTTGTGGTATCAAGAACCATTGGGATGAAAAGTTCCATATTGCGATGCAGATTGGCGATGTTGGTACTGGAGTGTCATGGGTTTCATGACTTGGCATTTCGCAGAGCAATCCAGAGCTAATGCCCTGTAAAGCAAGAAAAAAGGGTTTGGGAAGATTGCTTTGAAGAAAGAACAAATTCAAATCTCAGCGTATCCTGACCTGGATGACATCATGATCCCTTTGACCGTGTAGCAGTAGTTACACGTGGGTGATCGCGAGATTTAGTTCCGATTGACAGCAAAAAGCCTGTCAGACAGAAAAGTCAAGGGCATAAGATCTAGAACGGGACTGCTACTACTTTGACCAACCTTCGTCAGTTCTAGATGAGGCCGTAGTGACGTAACTCGGCCCAAGAAAATGGGTGGTAATTGTCCATAGGGGGTTTCCATGGATCTGGCGCCGTTCAACAATCCGCACAACTGTAGCGAATACTAGTATCCGGGTATAGGCGACCGATAGGAGTGGCTCTAATCGGACGTAGCACAGCGATTCTGTTCTCCCTCTAGATATAGGAATGCTTGTGATACTGAGAAGGGCCCGCTAGTCGTGTATCACAGCAACTATAATCTGCGAAACAGGTATCGGAATCTTGCGCAGACATCGCCTCAAGCAGGCTTGATCGGTTTCGTAATGAGAATCTCCAGGTTAGACTGTCACCTGAGGTATCGACTGGGGCATGCGGACGGGTCGGGCCTCTAATCCAATCTCGAAGCTCATTGTTTAGTGAAAACTGAAGGCGGTCGAAACCCTAAGATTCAATCCAAATAAATAATCACATGGTCAGAACAGACATTTAATGTCTTGCTGAGTGCCATGGGGAACCAAAGCTCCCCAGTGACGCTGATCAACAAGACCCGCTCGGGTCGGGAGAGGAAGGGCACCGTGTGCTTGCCGTTGGATTCCACGGAACGACTCCGATTGACTCCATGGGATTCGCCAACCGATTGTCAGTAGCACAAAGAGAAAGAAAATCAGTTCACCATGCGGATGCAGGATAGCACTCTTGCCAGAATGGTGGTGACATCTGGTGTTGCCGAGAAGACGGAAAATGAGGCTGCACTAACCCAATCGGGCCGACCATGACGCCTTTCCCGATGAGGCAGGTCAGGTGGGTGTCACGGGTCTATCTTATCGCTTATCATCTGACCGGTTCCTGGCAGGAAGCTCCCCTTCCCAGCTCCCCGTATTTATTCCTCCTCCCCAAGCTGTTGTTGCTTGATCTTCTCCCTGTCTCGCCTCCTTTCTAGCCTTCATTGGACGGGCTCTATTATCGTACTTGGAGGGCCGTCTGTCTGGTATTATTCTTCACATATCATTCTTATATAGTGCCTTGTTCCACCCATCATGCGTGTCGACTCCGCGGCGCTACATCTGGTCCCAGTGCTCCTGGGCCAGGTCGGTGCTCTACAATTACCCTTAGTCCAAGAGCCCAATTCAAAGTGGGCGACGACAAACGCAGGTGACAAACCACTAATTAGCTCACCGCTGCTTCAGGAGCAGGTCAAGGCGGAGAATCTGCTGGACAGGGCCCGGCAGCTTTACAAGATTGCGGAGCTGGGAGAAGACGAATATAACCATCCTACTCGCGTCATTGGCAGCAAAGGTACCACATACCTCTTCTCCTATTCTCGCAATAAGTACAATCAATTGACGATTCCTTGTTCCTAGGTCATCTTGGCACGCTCGACTACATATACTCCACCCTTACCGACCTCGGTGATTATTATACTGTCGTCAATCAGTCCTTCCCTGCCGTGAGCGGTAATGTCTTCGAATCTCGCCTTGTCCTTGGTCACGATGTTCCCAAGTCGGCTACACCAATGGGTCTCACTCCCCCAACGAAGAATAAGGAGCCGGTATATGGCCCCCTGGTTGCTGTCTCTAACCTCGGGTGTGAGGCCTCGGACTACCCTTCCAATTTGGAAGGCGCCATTGCTCTTATCAGTAGGGGAAGCTGTCCGTTTGGGACAAAGTCTCAATTGGCTGGTAAAGCGGGAGCCGTCGCTGCTGTCATCTACAACAACGAGCGCGGTGACCTGAGCGGAACTCTAGGAAACCCAACACCCGATCATGTTGCTACCTTTGGTATCTCCGACGCGGATGCTGCCCCGGTTCTGGAGAAGCTGAAGAAAGGCGAGAAGGTCGACGCTATCGCCTACATGGATGCGATCGTCGAGACCATCCACACCACCAACATCATCGCGCAAACCACGGATGGTGACCCTGACAACTGTGTAATGCTGGGTGGCCACAGTGACAGTGTGGCCGAGGGCCCTGGTATCAATGACGATGGGTCTGGTACTCTGACCCTCTTGGAGCTTGCCACATTGCTCACCCAGTTCCGTGTCAACAACTGCGTGCGATTTGCTTGGTGGGCCGCCGAGGAGGAAGGCCTTCTCGGATCTGACTACTATGTGTCCGTTCTCACTCCGGAAGAGAACCGCAAGATCCGCTTGTTCATGGACTACGACATGCTCGGCTCGCCCAACTTTGCGTACCAAGTGTACAATGCCACTAACGCTGTGAACCCCGAGGGATCCGAGGAGCTTCGTGATCTCTATACTGAATTTTACGATGCTCATGGGTTCAACTACACGTACATTCCGTTCGATGGACGCAGCGACTATGATGCCTTCATCCGCCATGGTATTCCCGGTGGTGGGATTGCCACGGGAGCTGAGGGAATCAAGACGGCCGAAGAAGCGGAAATGTTCGGCGGCATTGCTGGCGAATGGTATGACCCGTGCTACCACCAGCTCTGCGACACCGTGGCCAATGTGAACCTGACCGCGTGGGAATGGAACACCAAGGTAAGATCACTACAGTAGTTACCCTTATGCGGGTCATTCCTTTGCTGATTTGTGTGTGATTCAAAACAGCTCGTTGCCCACTCTATTGCGACTTACGCCAAATCCTTCGACGGATTTCCGGAACGGTCCGATGAACCTATCAGTCCGCTTGCCTATGAGGAACCGAAGTACCATGGCCACTATTTGCAGTTGTAAGACTCGTGTACTTCTAAGCTTGGTAGTGGGGTAATATCTATAGCGGGGTCCATTCTTTCCTGAGGCCGAGTCAGATTTGAACTTATGAAATGAACGAATAGACGGTCACTTTTCATGTAGACCATCACCCGGAAAAAGTCTGTTGTATCATGTAAACGTTCGTTAGTAGGTTGTCTGTTCAGGAACGCATGTACTTGTGGGGAAACGGTTCGGGGCTTGCCTGGAATGGTCTTGGCTTTCCCCCTTCCTTCTCCTCTGGCACCCTCATACCGATCTCTGTTAATCTAATCATATCTGTAGCATTTGCAATGATACTACGAGGGACCAGAGTGTCTAACGATGAGACGATAAACAGAATGTAAGCGCTGCATCGCCGCTTAATCTATTTCCCAAACAACATGCAGACGCCTTCATTGCAAGAATCATTCAGAGACATAGTGAATGCCGATTCTTAATTCACCTACGATTCGTGCAATAAAACTCACTGCCCTATACCATGATATATTGCTCTCTCCCCTCCGGGAAGAGATCGACAATTTCGGCACCGCCATGAAACGTTGATGGGCCTCCGAGTGTCGAGGATTAACACTAGGGCCACGCTAGAACCCTCAGGGTCTGCAAACTACTCTACGGGGTGACTCCGAACAGGGCGTGAAACGGAAGTTCCTCCGAAATTGTCGCGAAAGTGTCTGTAGAGTAGTATTCAAGACCATCATGCGATGCCGGAACAATTAGCCACTCTTATTTGGCATGTTAAACGTGGAGTGGAGTCATCCCCTTTGTTGAAACAACACGGCCATGTTTCTTTGCTGTCCAATCCGCTCCCTATAAAGCCAGCGTAGATCCGGTCTGGAAATTGAGATAAACGGCTCGTATCTCGTCTGTCAAAGTCAATTTTCATACGCTATCACGGATTACCCGTCTCATCAGAATGCGTGGAATTGGAGCTCTTGCCTTCCTGGCCGCCATCGGTGCCGCTCACGGCCAGAGCACGGTCGGATTTGGCCCTTATTTCTCTCTGGGCCCTACTCAGTCGTGGATTAGAGAGGCCAATACCACTCTGGTTCTGCCCGAGGCTCCTAGCCCTCAGAAAGACCGTCTTGCTCTCTGGCCCGGTATGGGTACAAGCGGTGGTGATCTGATCCAAGCTCTTGCTGTTTCTTTCTCCGACCCTAACTCGTAAGTAAATGGCTGAGCAAAAGCATGATTTATCGGAACGATTGCTGATGGTTGTTACAGAAACTGTGGCGCCAGCTCTGGACAGTGGTGTACCTGGGCTAGCACTCTCGAGGGTGAGTTACAATGCGGCTCCATCATACCAGTACTGGCTAAGATAATTTTGTGATAGACACGCAACTCGGTGGCAAGGAGGTCCCGGCTTCTGCTGGCGACAAGGTGACCATGCACTGTAAGTATACTATCCAGCTATGCACGCTCCGGCTGTCGAAGATAGACACTAACCTCCGTCTACGTAAAGACAAGTACAACGACAGCACGGGCAAGTACGACCAGACCGTCTCGATCAACGGCGAGGTGGTCTCTACTCTTTCGACCAGTGCGTTTTCCAGTCCTCTGAATTGATGCTCCACTTGTATACTGACGAATACCAGGCTCGGGACAAGCCCAGGGCTGGGGCACAGCAGTTGAGTGCCAGGACGATGCGTGCCAGAGCACTGCGGGAGCTCACAGTAAGTTCCCAACCCATCTTCCGGGAAAGAAGAACAAGATTAACAGAGCAAAACAGAATACCTTGACACCACCATCATCCTGAACGCTGAGGATAACTCCTTCGGCGACACCCTTTCCATCAACGAGGCCAGCTCCTCCGGCCTGTCGACGTCGGATAATGGCAAGACTTGGACTGTGTCGACCATTAATATCAACTCCCACACCTACAACCTGTGAGATTGAAGTTAGTCTTGTATAGTATAGCCTGGGGGTTGAATCCTCTGAGGTTCATCTATTGGGTTTAATAGATTGTATATAAACAGGGAACATGAACAGCGCTCGCGTTCTCAGGATAGTCCATGACATCGACATAACGTATTCATTAAAACATCATAATAAATACTGACAGACAGCGTTATCATGCTCAGGGACGTTGACATCTCATAAATTGTGAGGGCAGGTCTTTAGAAGAACTTGTTAACCTCCTGGTTGATTCCCTGGTTAACAGCACCATCCATTCCACCAGGGACATACTGGTCAACCTTCTGATCAACCATCGAGTCGACAAAGTTGCCACCAGAGTTACCACCCTGTCCTCCGTTGTTAGAGCCGCCCTGGTTGCTGGTTCCACCGTGGCTGCCGAGGAAGCCTACAAGAGAGATTATTGTCAGCCAACGTTCTCGATTCAGGTCAATCATGTCGCAATTCATAGGGGAACAAACCTTCTGCCTTGTTCACCAAGCCCCCAAGCCCACCAGAAGAGCCACCGGAGGAGCCTCCGAAGGAGTCATTTACACCACCAGACCCTCCGAAGTTGTCTTGATTGCCTCTTCCCCCGCCAAATCCAGAGTCATTGCCGCCGAAGCCAGAGTCACCTCCACCGCGAACCCCGCCAAAGCCCGAGTCAATTCCTCCAAAACCAGAGCCACCTCCACCAAATTGAGAGTCGTTACCGCCGAAGCCAGAGTTGTTGCCACCAAACCCGGAGTTGTTGCCTCCGAAGCTGTCACCACCACCGCGACGGCCACCACCAAAGTTATCTTGACTGTAGGAGTCATCTTCGAGACCACCACCGCCGAAGCCAGAGTTGTTGCCACCAAACCCGGAGTCGTTGCCTCCGAAGCTGTCACCACCACCGCGACGGCCACCACCAAAGTTGTCTTGACCGTAGGAGTCCATGGTGTTTGTTGAGCCGAGAAAGTGTGTTGATGGGTTGATGTAATGTGAAGGATCTGTAATGTTTCAATTGAGTGTAAGGATCCCAGAAACAGAGACAAAAGGAAAGAGAAACGGAAAGGGAGGAAACATCCAGCTTTAACACCTCAGCCCCAACAGCAGAAGCAAATTGACCCCTCTGTTCAACACTACGAGCTTTGCGCCATTTATTCGCCACACAATACCAGCCCTTTCAGCCCTCAGCCATCAGCACTCTGTTCTGAGACACCCCTAATCCCAAACTATTGGCGCAATCCATACATTTGATGTCAAGCGCACACTAGTGAAGGAGCTAAGATGCGCCCGGGGGATATCGATCTCAAATCAGGGTACGAGATCTCGTCGATAATGACGCTAAGCTTCAGGGCGAGTCAGCTCGGGGACCATCCATTTCCGAGGGGATCCGATCCTGTGTGATAAGCCTGGGTTCTGGTGGGTTGCAGTGTGGCGATTTTGCTTTTGATGGCGATACGGTGTGAGATTTACCAGGTGCATAAGTGACCAAGTACTCTCTTCGCACTATTTATCCTTCGAAAAGTGCTTTGTAGGTTCTATTCTTGGCCTTATCTGGTCTATTGTGCACCTTGGGTATGTGCCACGTTTGTGTTCAATGTCAATAGTACTAGGATTAGGCACAGCACTACCAACCAACCAGAAGCCCTACCCGTCCCACACCACTAAACCAAGCTTTGGGACAAGCTTCCCTTGACCCGTAGAGGCACTAAGAACTGTGCCCTGAGCCCTGGATCTCTGATGGGTCCGCCCGACCAGATCCCGATGGGCTTACTGCTCAGGGTGGTGTGAGCTCTCACAAGGGTCGCCAGAGCATACCCGAGCTTACAATCGGCTTATTTGATATAATAAACTTCTAGTAAAAACAATTCAAACCTTCATATAAACCTCAATTTTAGATCACGTAAATTTATCTTCAGATCACGTTTAGGCTGCAATACTGATTTCTAATTGAGTCAGGGTACCTACCTTCTTTCTCACCGGGAGGTAAGCACACTTCTCCGGGTTGACCACGGAATCGTATTTAACTTTTTGAGATGCAATAACTAACATCATTGGCTGGGGGGGGTATCTCCGGGAACGAGTTTCATCAGCTAGAGTCGGGTTCGGAGTTACTATAACGGTTGTTCCCTCATTGGCTAGTTTGGGATGTTTGCGATAGTCTGTAGGAAAAGAGATTATTCTCATCTAATAATTGTTAATACGTGGTAATTAGACACACTGGTTACCTAATGTTAAAGCACACCATATCATTCGGTCTTCGTATCTCACTGCTGCGGAAGGAAAGATAGAGACTGTGCAACAGTGGTATCTGTGGGATGTCCGGTTCATAATAAATATGTGGATATATTCTTACAGCTTTGGAGTACTTCTTAGCAACTGACTTGCTCGGAAATTGTAGGATTGACGGTATCATGAGACCATCTTTAACTCCGAATTGTGTCTAAGAAAAAGAAAGAAAAAGAAAAAAAAAAAAAAAAAAAAAAAAAAAAAAAAAAAAAAAAACCTGGTAAAGATACATGGGAATCAAACCATAGAAGGCATCGACCAAAACGCCTGTAACATATACCATGAAATGTCGGATGGGCTGTAGCTCAAGCATGGTCAGGAGCTTCAACAACACAGCAGCTCGGCAGAGGAGAACACAGTCCATTAGACATCTTTGGATAAGTCTTCTTGACCTTAGAAGCCTCAGCTTGGGCAACTTTATCCACCCGGGATATTACCTCACTGATCGTTTCCGGCTGTACAGCAGGATTTATAGCGCACATTCGAAGTGTAGTCCGTCCACGAATCTGGGTAGTCAATATAGAAGTGATGTTCTCCGCCACGAGCCGTTGTGAAATAGCACCGTTCAATGAGTCTAACTCCTCTTCACTGAACCCAGGAGGGGCATATCGGAAAACCACAATGCTAGCAACTGTTGGCACCGGGATGATCCAGTTCTTGCACTGCCGGATGCTACGATCCGCTGTACAGGCAAGAAGAAAACCCTGATCGATCATCTCACCCACACGACGACGACCTAGAACCTTGATAGTGAGCCACAGAGACATCGCACGCGCTGGGCGACTTAGCTCTGGGCTGAGTTTGTAAAAGTTAGTTGTGGCCTGCGGTTCCAATGGATGGGTGATATATTCGGCATCGAAGGAGAAGCTGCGTGCGAGAGAGCTAACGTGCCGCGTAAGCACAATCCCGCAATCATATGTCTGGAAGAGCCACTTGTGGCCATCCCAGGAGACGCTATCCGCGCGACCGATGCCATCAACCAGGTGGCGATGCTTGTTGGATAGTGCGATGGATGCACCATATGCACCGTCTACATGAAGCCATAGGCCTTCATCACGCGTGATATCGGCTAATTCATGGAGAGGATCGATGCTGCCGGTGTTGGTGCTGCCGCAATTGGCGATGAGGAGAAACGGAACACGTCCGAATAGGCGATCTGTATTGATGGCATGTCGTAGGATATCCATATCCATGCGGCAGTTATCATCGGTTGGTATCTTGTGGACCTGGTAGTCCATGAAGCCAGCAATATGTAGGGCTTTCATAACGGAGAGGTGTGTCTGGTCGGACATGTAGATGGTGGCGTTTGCTCGCTGCAAGGGTTGGAGTTTCTCATCGCGGGCTGCAACTATGGCTGTCATGTTTGCCATAGACCCGCCCGAGACAAAGCACCCTCCGACTGAATCAGGCAGTTCCAATTGGGAGCCTAGCCAGTGGATCATGGCCTTTTCAACCTCGCTCGGACCAGAGCTCGAATCCCAGTTTGCAACATTTACATTATAAAGGGAAGTGAGGAGATCTCCCAGACGAGCAATGGGGCTGGGGCAGGCTGGAATATAAGCAAAGGAATGTGGGTGGGTGTGGTGTATATGGTAATCAAAGAGCGTCATGGCTTGTTGAAGGATAGAGACCGGATCCCGAGGATGATCATCCGGCATAATCTTAACCTGCAGGCTTTGTAGCTCATTGGTATCGAGGATTGGAAGAATGGGGTCTGATGGGGCTGGAAGGTCGGTCGTGAGGAGTTGGGTCAATAGAGACCTCGCTACTAATATGACATTGGCCCATCCTTCATCTGACTGGTGTTGTAGTGCGTTGAAATGCATATTAACAAATTTGGACGAATGGTTTTAACAGAGAAGTGTGGATTGTGTCAAGGTGGCTGCCAACATACTTGGAACACGAGGGCAGTTATGTGGCTTTATAAAGTATGGCCGAGTCAATGTGTGCAATAGACTCTGAGCTGTATTGTAAGGCAATTTAACGAGCGGATCTCTTCTGAGGTCCACTAGATCGCAATTATCGTAGGAAAGCGAGATCAAGTAACACAAGAGTTAACTAGACTCAGGTCGATAGACTAGAAGAAAGTTTGAGATCCGGCACTCTCAGGCTGACGAGTTTTCAGCTCCACAAAAGCAACATGAGGAACTGTGGTGTATCTAGCTAGCTGCGTATCTTAAGGTTGGTATAACATTGCCATCACGGGGCATATATTCCCCTAATTTCTCTGTGCTGCGTCTGCCGATCTTTATGAAGGTATGATGTCCGAGACTGATGAGGCAAGTCACTACAATATACTACATCTACTGTAGTAGTTAGTTTTTCATACTTGCTGTGAGCGGCAATACAGATGCATCCAAGCGTGTAGTGTGTAATGCCATTGTGTGGCTGGGCGGGCAGTCGGAAGCCCGCCTCTGGAGGAGTCGTGATCAGTGGAATGTGTAGCTGAGCAATTTGACATGTCGTCTAGCCGTGGTCGCAATACCCTGCTCAACAACTCATGCCAACAAACGCAAATAGTTAACGTGTCGAGATTGAGGTATGTAAATCTCTTGCTAATAGCGGTGTGGCTCCAAGAGGTTGCCGGTGACAGGATAAGTCACTTGTGCATGAGTGGCCGCCCCGTGACACTTGCCCTTTCTGCCAGATAGACAGCCGAATTGGGTGGTTACACAAAGATTCCATGCAGTTGACGGAGTAAGTGATGGATTCCCAGAGGCCAAGAAGCATTCAGAGCTTTACATAAAACCCAGTAGTGTGGTTGACTACGACTCCGCTATCAGGAGACAAGGAACTTCAAAGTAATGAAGGATCTCAATAAAGTGTAGCTGGAATGAATCTTTCGGCTTACCACAAGTTTGTCATTCAAAGTCCCTTGAGCCACCTCACCCTATAGCAATAGCCAGTCTGTACGAAGACCGGGACACGTCACCGGCTCCCATCCGAGCGACTGCGGTCCTTTCAAAGGATCCTTCAAGAAGGCGAGGATAAGATTTGGCATTGTCCGGCTAACTTCCGCTTCGAAGGCGGTGCTATTCCCCAAATACTCCTGGATGGGATAGGAGCCAAATTTCATCGGCAAATCACTCGCATGGTAAGCGCCAAGCCATCGAAATGGCCTCAGAATCGGGTATTGTCCGGCATTCTGGCAGCGGTACACCGGAACGTTGTGCTGGTTGCGGAGAAGCGTCGAGTTAGCCGTGGGGCAGATCCAGTCGGTCAAGTCACCCTTCAATACGGCAGCCGGGTACGGACAAGCAGTCACATTGTCATGGGGTAGGTGATCAGAGACGCATATTCGTTGGCACTATTGGACATAATAGTAGGGCGATGTGCAATCTCTCCTGCAGCCGAGCGGACATGATAATCACTAAAATAGAGCGCTCGTCGGGCACGACGCTAAAACTCAGAGCAGGTTCAGTGCCGTTGTCTGAGTGCTTGCCGATAAACTTGGAGATATGCGCGTCTTACCCATTACTTTTTCACATAAATACTCAACAAATCCGTCCCTTTGCCGCTGGGATACGACCGTGTAGGCCTAAAGTACTGCGCTCGCCAGAACTGTCCCTTCAACTTAGCAGCTTCTGTGTCGTCTTCTTCCTCTTCAGCAATATTACAGATCCCATTGCCGCCGCGTGCGAGCAGATCCCAGTGAACGCCCTTCAATCCCCACGGTGGTCCTGGCAAGGAAGGGTCCTTGTACATGGGAAACTCAAGACAGACAAGAAGACCTCCCGAATGGAGAAGGTGGCTCATACGCTCGGCCCATTTCTGACGGAGGGAGGGGTGAAGAGCGCATAGAAACTGTTGATTGCGTAAGTCATACTGCTTTGTGTCCGGTATTGCATTGAGGCATGCAGTAAGGGTGTTCACATACAGTATAATCATAGACCAAGTCAAACTTTTCACCATCACAAAGAGCTTCACTCTCCCACGCTGAGCTGAAAAAGTCGCCGGCAATAAATTTTACATTCCCTATATCGGCAGTTGTCGCAGTTCCTGAAGAGTAGTTATACCCCTGTGGACTCTGCATCTCTGAGGCGGCATACTTCCTCGCCTCTGAAACGCCAGTTGCGGATATGTCGAGGCCGTAGACGTCGAAACCATGAAGTGCTAGCATGACGGGGTCGTAGCCCCTTCCACAGCCCTGTAGTAATATCATAAATAGTTAGTGACTCCGAAGTAGATGTTTTGTAGTAGTTCCGCGAATATCCGGTGGGTTTATTGGCTCGTTAAACGGGGGGAAGGCTACCGGAACGAGGGCCCTCTTTCTCCGTCTATCGGGGGTAAAGGGGGGAAAGACATCTTTCTGCTGCTCTACTACATCGATTAGTGCAATCGAGGGACTCCCTCTATCCCAGAGATCGCTTTCATTGGAGTCCCAGAGTGCGGACCAGCCTGAGCCTTGGTCTTCCGCTGGCCTGGTGTGAGTTAGACAGGTTGAAGTCGGGTCTTTAAAACAAATAATCGTGATTGTACCTTTCAGCAAAATGGCTGATGAGGCGGCCTTGAACAGGGGGGTTAGGCGTGTGGGCCATTTTATGCGAAGAAATCTACCTTATTCGTGATGACTGAAATTTCTGACAGATTCGAGATGCGTCACGGATGGAAAGTCAAATTGTGGGGTGATTAAGAATGGTTCCCGGTTGGCGACGGAGCGGGTCTCCTCCAAAGGAAAGTCCGATGGTTCTCGTCCGTTTGCTGCTCTACGTATGATTCCAATCCTAATTCCCATGGACATGAAGAGATGGTGTTGGACCCTGAAGCATTAAAGCAAATTAGTCGGCGATTGAAACAGTGCCCCGCTCTTAACACCGAATGCGGAGGGGTCTGACCCCGACAATACCGACGATTGTATGTCGAGCTGATTGTCATCAAGACTGTAACCCATGTGTGGTCGCTCGCGCCTTTAGATGTCCACTGGCATCTCGTCTGACGTGAGAAATAGTATAGCAGTATGCTTCATGAATCTATGCCCCCGACTAGCTCCGTTTCATGGCACGGTCTGTTGCGACCGTGTTTCTCCGACTACGCCACCTGTCCGGGTCACAGAGGACTGAGGGACCTCGACCCGACCTACAGAGGCACAAGGCAAATCTCATCTCATCAGCATTGCATGGAATTCATCATTACTGACTGATGGTCTAGACACTCTCTAGTGGGGTCTTTTCATATCCGCCTTCCGGTTCAGTCGGTAAGATGATATCGATAGTGTGCGCTCAGCAAAACCCACTAGAAATCCTTCAGTGAACTAGAAATGCTACGGTCTTTCACGTGCATATTGAATCTCGGCGTGTTATCGGCCGAACTGTATGCCTTTAATGATTGATACCAGAGGCTTTGTTCGCCTAGGTACGGACGGTGTTTGCTGGTATCCCGCCATGGCGTTCTGTGCACTTTGGCGGAGCAAAAGCATAACCATGCAACAAGAATAGGCTGTCGGAGCATAGCCCACCGGGTCAGCTCGGGCGAATGTCTTACCTCAATCCATTTGATTGTCCGAATTTGGGCTTGAAGCTCCAAAGTGATCTTTGATGGTGCTTCATGCACCTCGATGATCATCGCCAGTGCCATGGATTGGCTTTGCACGCTAGACTACATTACATAGTACTGTGCAGGGTAAGGTCATACCCTGGTGGGACAGATATGAAGAATCTATGCATCAGACATCTGGCAATAATCATGTCGTCTCTGAGCAAGATGGCTTGCTTGCTCGAGAGTGTCTACAGCGGCACTAAGACGTCTGATAGAACATCGTTATGGCCCGATTACTTTACACCGGTACAAGGGGCGTTTACCCTCTCTCCCAGCTGTACCAGACTTCAGATGAAAATAAGCACTGTAGGTGCGGCTAGCAACCCTCGGTGCCCGTGTCACATCTGGCACCCAAGGGCAGCCGTATCTTTACGATTGCTCCGATCAGCATGCCCCCAGCGAATAGATGGAAGGTAGATCATCGACCCAAGGCTCGTGTCTCAGAATTGCGAAAACATGCGATGCCCCTGAACCTTGTGGTTCCCGAGGATATGTGCGACCGGCCAATCTTTGACTAAACTTGGCATATCCTCGTTACGCCATAGGCTTACTTGTGTCCCGATATTGGGTAACTTCATGCTCTTGAGAGACTTTGGGCTTGGCACAAGTGGTGAGACATCGAGTAGATAATGCATGTGGGAGTGTGTGTTGAGGAAAAATGTGCTCTGTGTACAAGCTTGACCCACTGTCAGCATGCATTGTCGACTAGGAGTCCGCGTGGTCGGCCACGAGGCCTGGGATGCACATGAAGGCGTCGCTGAGTATTCTCCTCTTCGAGTCGCATCCCCGCTGGTGCAGGGGTAACGTTTGGCCCCCAAATTGCCGATACTATGCAAAAAATGACCAGGTTGCTTTGGCCACATTGATTGGGCCCTGGAGAAACACCAAGGACAGCAATGGGTTCCCTTGAAGGGATAAGCGACGCCAATCGCTGCTGTTCAGGGATAAACCTGCGGATGGACAACTCCTTCCCGTTAGCTTAAGACCCGCCCATCTCCACCCGAAATTCCTTCGCGTCACGCTCGCTTGCTCTCGTCCTTCAGCCGTCAGCGCCTGTCAGCACCGGTGCCCTCGACTTCCCCCACAGCGGCCCCTCGCGGCCTATCGCCGACGGGCCCTCAAGCCGCTAAAGTTCACGTTAATTGATCCAGAGCCACGCTGCCCTCCTTGTTCCACTGCAGTTGACGAAGCCTATTGCTCCTCGGCCCCCAAGCATCACAATTTCTGCTGAGGGCTTACTATAGACATCCCTTGGACGGAGGATGTTATCTATGTCTCAGAGTGTGCGCCGGTCGCAACTTCTTTGCTCGAATCAGAAGTGCATCAGGCCATTATGGACATGATGGTTTCCCAATCCCTGATTGAGCTTTTGGCCCCCACGCGGGCATGATTTTTGTGGATGGTCTTTGCTGAGTGAAGACCTTGCATCTAGGCCTGACAGCTCATGCAGCGTGCCAATCGTAATATCCTATTATCGCACTTGTACGCTTCGGGCCCTTGGCGAGAGACACCATCCTGCTTTGCAGGCTATCTATTGTGTTTCATTCTCACTTGTGACTCGCTGGTCGGAATATGTATCCCCTGCGTCTGCACTAATGCATCATTGGCCGACAAAAGATCCGTCATGGCCCAGCATGCGGAGGGGTTCATTAACCACGAAGATCCGCGCAAACACCTTTTAGCGGGAGGTGTTCGTTGCATTCTTTCATCTCGAGCAAACTGATTTGGTGTCGATTTCTTCACTCTTATAGCACGTGGAACCCCAGACATACTGGTGCACTAATCATGGCACCGTTACCCGAGGGCGAAGTGAGTGGCTGGGTGGACTCGCCCAACGATCGGGGTACCATCGATATTATCTGGGGCTGTTGCTTGGTGCTCTCCACCGCTCTCTGGACAGTTCTGCATCTGAACATTCCGGCCCCCGACGATGGCCTTTGGACGGTTCTGTGGCGCAAGCTCCGCTGGGGAACATTTGCTATCTTGGCCCCTGACATGCTGGTGGGCTTCTCCGCCATGCAGTACGAGTCAGCGCAGGAATCGGTGCGCGACATGCACCGCTTGGGCTACAAAGAATGGACCCTCAAACACGCTTTCTACGCCAATAGCGGAGGCTTCGTCCTTCAATCGACAGACTACCCTCCCTTCCCAATCACCGCAGCCTCGATCCACTACCTCGTCGAAACTCACCACATCGACTGCCCTACAATCACAGCGGAGGAGATCTGGGATAAAAGCAAGGCAGATACGTTCGCTAAGTGCGTAGCATTGGTACAAGGGGTATGGCTTGTGGTCCAATCCATTGCCCGGGCAGTACAAGGCCTCGCTGTCTCCCCGCTTGAGCTCTTCACCATTGCGTTCGTCTTATCCACGATTACGACCTACTACTTTTGGATGCACAAGCCACAGAGTGTTGGAGTGCCGACCATTATCGAACTCAAGAGCGGATCAGTCACCAGCTTGATCAACAGTGCCGGGGAGATCGGTGTTGAGCCGTTCCGCGAGACACCACTTGATTTCCTGGAAAAGCCGCACCAGCGGTGGCATCGCCGACCGACCCTCGAGAATCTCCGCCCGCAGAAAAGCCCCTTGCAGCGCATGCCGGATGACAAAATCGTGTTCAATGGCTTGAGTCAACGCACCTGGCTACTGGTATCGATCCAGGCCATGGTACATCCCGCTGTCCACTTGCTGGGCTGGAACCATGTGTTCCCGACGAGCACTGAACAGCTGATGTGGCGCATCATGAGCGTCTTCCTGGCTTCTGGTCTTCCGCTGTCGAGCATGCTGCGGATCACTCTGACCGCGTTAGGCTTTGACGGTCACCAGTCCCTGACATGGATATGGGTCCAGCCTACCGGCAAAGAAGAGAAAGGATGGCGTGCTTGGGTGCTGGACGTTGTCATGTCTTTTATCAGTGCCTGTCTGGTCCCGGCCCGCTTGTTTATCATCATCGAGGCTTTCATCAGCCTGCGACAGCTCCCATCGAGTTCCTATGTGACCGTTGAATGGACGAATTTCATCCCACATGTCTGAACTGCGCGAGCGAAATAACTCGTACTTCTTGTTTCTCCGGAACAGAAATCTTCCGCTGGACGCGGGTGGAAGGTCACAGACGGGTGACTCTTCGTCGCTGCTTGCAGCTCTCCCATTGCGATTGGTTGAGGCACTCAATGGACACCAAGCGGCGGGAAATGCACTATCCATTCACGTCGCCATGCATGGCCGCTCTCTAGGGTGCGAGAAGACTGCCTTGTCTCTTGTAAGAACGCGGCACGTCATCGACCTAGTTTAGGAATAAACTCCGCCTGGCATACTGAGCGTCAGGCCACTCTGTTCAAGTGAGCACAGACAAGCGCAGCCCTAGTCTGTCTTCCCCCGCATTTCCCCCGCAAATCAAGGCACTTCCGTGGGGGCATCATCTGGGGGAGGAGAGATCGGAGCCAAGCGAGCCAATCATTCACTCTATTCCGTTCAGATCGGCGTGGGGGCGGTATTCCGTTGGCTGTCTTTTCTTGTGCGCCTTCGTCTAACTTCATACCCGGGGAAGGCTGGGCTATGGGCACAACCTCGGCTCAGCATATTTAAATTCACAAATCGCCTCACTATCAGTCCTCCCAGGTTGTCACCTGTCTCAAGAGATCATGCTAATGCTCCATCATGTTTGACTTCGACATTGAATTTCGCCGTCACCGGTGGGCCTTGATCTACTGCTCCATCTCCGCCATCGGCGCCCTGGTGTTTGGTTATGACAACACATACTATAGCGGGATTCTAGGCATGCAAGAATTCAAGAATGACTACGGTGATCACTATGAGGATGGTGCGAAAGCATTAGCGACGAGCTTTACGTCGCTGACTACCTCCAGCATCTACATCGGGGATATGCTGGGTGCACTCATAGCAGGGCCTCTCAATGATCGCTTTGGTCGGAAAACAGTTCTCTGGATTGCTTCGGTGTTTGTGCTTGCTGGAGGGGTGACCCAAGTTGCTGACACCCACATTGAGGGTGTTATTGTGCTTGGCCGCATTCTAATTGGGCTTGGAGTGGGCAACTTTACTGTTACGTCCCTACTCTAGTGAGTGCAGTCATCTCATTTGTACATATTAAAAACGACTCACTGACCCTTCCATAGTATCGGAGAAGTCGCACCAATGGAGATCCGAAGTCCAGCATTGTACATGTACCAGTTCCTGCAATCCTGCTCGCAGCTAGTCGCCTCCGGCCTCACCCAAGGCACCAATTCCATCCACTCGTCTTTATCCTACAAACTACCCATGGGTGGACTCGTCATACTGCCCCTCTTCATGCTCTTCTTCTTACCCTTCATCCCCGAAACCCCAACGTGGTACGTCTTTCATAACAGAGAAGAAGACGCCAAACGTGCCCTCCTCAAAATCAACCGCAACGACCGCACCTACGACCCCACAGCCGACCTCGCCTTTCTCAAGCAAGCCAAACGCTACGAAGAAACCCAAGGCGAAGAATCCACCTGGCTCGCCCTCCTCCTCGACCCCATCGAGCGCAAAAAGCTAATCTGGGCCTCGGGCGGCATGTACGCGCAACAAATCTGCGGCATAATCTTCTTCTACAACTACGGAGTCGTATTCGCCGAAGCCCTCGGTGTCTCCCAACCCTTCACCATCACCCTCATCACGATGATCCTACAAATTTTCGCCGTCGCCGCATCCATCCTAACAGGAAACCGTCTCCGCCGACGCACCAACCTCCTCGCCAGCACCACACTCATCCTCATCGCCTTCATCATCATCGGCGGCATAGGCACCCAATCCACCCTCACCACCGCATCCAAATACATCATCGTTGTCTTCTCCTACGTCGTCATCTGCGCATATAACTTCGGCCTTGGCCCGCTTACTTACGCCGTATCCCGCGAGCTCTCGGTCGGCGTTAACCAGAATAAAATCATGTCGGTGTCCATCGTGGCGCTGTATTTCTTCCTCTGGGTGATCTCTTTCACGGCGCCGTATCTGTATTATGATGCCGGGCTTGGTCCGATGGTTGGGTTCGTGTATGCGGGTACGACGCTGACGTCTCTGATTTGGGTGTGGTATTGTGTGGGTGAAACGCAGGGGCGGACGAGCATGGAGGTCGCCATGTTTTTTACGGAGAGGGTTCCAGCACGGAGGTGGAGGACGCATATTTTCGCGAATAGGGGAGGGGATGAGAAGGAGGATGTTAGGGCCGAGCATGTGGAGGATAAGGCGTAGCTACTACGTGGGTGCGCTGGACGGGGATGATGATGGGATTGTGTTCTTATTCATGGGATAGGCAGTATCACTAAGTTGTTCAAACCCACTTCATGCATATTGTTCCCGTCATATTAGACACACATCATGTGAACCCTGGGTACAAGTCTCGTGGGGCAGGGAGTATGATCGCCCGTAAGAAACTTTACACGTACCCTTCGTATATCATGCCATAACCATCCTCCTCATCGTCAACGTCCATTTACCAAGACAGGGCAAAATCAAGACCCAAATATATTTCAGAAATAAGCTGATCGACTCTTTAGTGCGAACCATAATTACTTCATATTCTAAAGGTCATTCCTGTAGTCGTCAAGCTACGCCAGTCAGCTGGTGGGGTTACGGCCAAATGCGAAGAAATATGGTGCATTGATTCTCCGCCCTCACCTGATCTAGTTCTGAATGAGGAAGCCAGATCCAGTACATATGATAGTTTAGCTCAATCGGATGTAACCGCATCGTGTTTATGGACGCGAGGGGGGAAGGCTGGCCTTGGCGAACGATAACCATAGGATGTGAATGAGTGGGATGAACGAGGAAGAGAAGTTTATTTGGCGGGTGCATCTGGCACATGTCACATTTTCAGGGCTAACCCACGGTAGGAGTGAAACAACAAGGCTAAAATTAGGTACATGTGCAGGAAGAGATACTTTACTTGTTGACGCTATGTTGAATAGAGCCATCCCAAATTTTATTTCCTCAATTGCTCGGTTTCCTCACCCCGCGCTGGTAATCTTACTATCGGTCTACAACAACACCGTCCCTCAAATATTTACTAACAATTATACACCAAGCTAAATCCAATCGGCTGACTTCCGCCAATAGAGTTCTGAAAGTTCACACTCCCAGGTGAAGTCTGCCACGTTGATTGCAATGCCAGGAAGCTCATTTCGTTAGAGCACGTATTCGACGCAAGGATCGTATGGAATGGGGATGTCGTTGGCGAAGTTGGGAACTGGAACGTCGACACCATCTCTCTCCGAGTAGGCTGGTTGTTCCAGGTAGGAGGAGAAGTCAAGTCCCATGGATTGGTAGTCCAGATATCTGCTTGGCTGGAGTTCGTCGCAATGGGCTGCGCTAGGGCCGGGATATCGATGGCGAGCATGCAGCCTGTGGCGCCGTTGGGGATCTCGGTGAAGGTGAGGGCGGAGATCTTGGTGTTTGCGGTGGCTGTTCTGGCGAGGGAGAACTGCTGTCCGGTGCTTGGGGTGTTGGGGTTTGTGCTGTCGAGGACGTCGATGGCTGTTGGAGCGATGGTGGTGCAGGCGCGGGGAATGAGGTTAGCGGGGGTTGGGGAGGTGGATGCCACAGAGGCGAGGAGGGTGAGTGCTGTGATGGGACTGAAAAACTTCATTTTGAGAATGGGTATGTTATTCTGATTGCAGGATAGTCTTGAGGCAAGAAGATGACCGAATGAGACAAGGAGATTGCAGTTTGGATGTGGTTTCGAAGCAGAAGCTACGTCCGGAAGATGCTTGTATTTATATCTCTGGTTCTGCAACTTCATTCAAGCTGAAGTCCACTCGGTGAGCCATTTTATCACTCATGAAATGGTAATAAATGGCCAGCAGCCGCATTTTGGAGCGGCTGCAACCTCGTATAGCCCAAAAAGGCATTGACGATACGAGGCCAAGGCCGAGTTGCTTCAATAGACGATGTGATCTGTCTGAATCCAACTCTGTACAATTAAAACGAGAGGCATCCTTCACGACTTGACCATTTAGGATAGCTAGGTATGTACTGGACGCCTGATGTAGTTCTGAAGCTGGATATAATTCGATGCTGGAACGGTGTCAGGTGGTAATATACTGATGCTATGGGTTACACAGCAGACAAGGAGCCTGCCTGGTGCAACACGAACCAGCCATATTAGCTTGACTATGGCATTATTGGCGAGACACTGTGACAGGCGTTCTCAGTTAAAGAGCTGCAGATATTGTGCCTCATATAACCCTGGCGAGCAGGATGTCTCTAGTAAATCCGGGGTAGCATGATACATCCTCTTCATGCAGGGAACTCCGGAGTATCCTGTTGGTCTATCACCTATGAGGTAGAGTTCGGTTCTCCGGGTTAATCTAAGTCTAGATGGCAGACAACTTAGGCCGATACTGCGCTCTCGGGAAAACACGAGATCTGGCGATGAACATTGCAACTGATGAAACAGCTACATGAGGAAAGTTAGACCCTCCAAGCAGAATGGGTGCACCTTGTACTGTGTCCGGTGTCTCACTAGGTTTCCTCGGAGCCGCCCTTGCGGCTAAGCCCTGCAGCAAATCCGTTGCACGACATCGTGTACGATCGCTTGCCACCATATTCATCTTCTACCGATTGAGCGCCCATACAAGATAGAGGTTGCTTCACGAGTTACTTATTATCATTCCTTTTTGACTAAAAAACCGTGAAGAAGAAAGCCTGCATCGCCCCAGTCAGACTTCGCCGGGTTGTCTAATACCGGAGAGCTGTCTCACTTTGGAGGCGGCTTTTCTCTGGTAGTCGTATTCGGCCACCATTACTCATCGCTTAAGGCATGTACAGAAAGACTATTTCCATCACACTACATGACGTGGCTTGTTAAAGTTCAGAATTTTGATGCTAGCAAGTCAACATGAGCAACCATACGCCCATGATAGCACGATGTGTTAAACCAACACCTAGCTCAAATGATACGGAGCATCACGAAGCCACGTACCCAGAAAACTTATACCCATTGTGTCTACTGGACTGACTCAAGGGGTATGAGCTGCTAAATTCTTGGGTTGGGATAAGAGGTGGTGGAAATAAATAAGAGCGACATTTAGTGCCCAGAGACGAAGAAAATGGAAGAAAGACTGTACATGCTGTTTACTACGGAGGATTCGGTAAGATCTTTTTTTGAACTTATGTAGATACTCGACGTAAAAGCTGCAAAGAAGTAGAGAAGAGATACCCTTCAAAAAGTACAACCTATTTAAACCCGCCCAGATAAAACTTCGCAACGCCATCCAAAAGTAACATACAATCCGCAAGCCCTGAGAATCATGATCTCTCAAATCACTCCAACATAGCTCCTTCCCCAACTTCACTCGCCCTCTCCACCACCCTCTTGTATGCCTGTTCCCGCTTCAATCTCTCCACATACCCATGCAACAGCGGATACTCGCTCCTCGATATTATCCCCAACGCAAACCCCACGGACACCGGCACACTCAACTGAATATCGGCAAGCGTGAGATCTTTTCCACACATGTACGGGCCCCCATCAGGCGCTGTGGCAAGCTGCTCTTCCAGGAATCCGAAGTGAGTTTTGAATTCATTGTCCAGGAACTCAGAATTGACTTTGGATGCGATGAAGTTCGTTATGGGCTTAAGAAAGAATGGAATAGGTGCGTTTTGCAGCGCTATATCTCATCAGTATACCGTCAATATCAGGGAAAACCCGTTATATGGCAAAGAAGGCGGCTCACCATCGAAAACTAATTTTATTTGCAAAACACTCATTAAACTTCCTTCCACATAACTATCGTAGAATTTATGTCGCATCCATGCCTCCGTTTCACCGCCTAGCTCTTTTTCCTTTCCGGGCTCATATTTCCTGGGAATGAGCTTGGTGCCTGTGGCTTCATCGGCAAAATGCTCAACTAAGTAGCTCATAATTGGGCTCGTCTCGGCCAAAATGATAGGTTTGGAGGTCGGCAAGGGCGGCTGGATGGATACTGTGGGCGATTTGCCAAGAGGGTGAATCTTTTTCAATTCTGCGGGCGCAGTACCTGTCGGATTGCGCTTGAAGGGTTGGATGGAGTATTCGAGATTAAGCTCCTCCATTACCCATGCGATGCGCTGGGCGCGGGAGCGCTCGAGCCTGTTATTCTGTTAGTTGTGGAGGTATTAAGGGGTGGGGGGAGATGTACCAGTTAAGAACGATTTTAGCACCGCGATTCGCGCTCATTCTGTCACGGTATTTTGATCGTGATTTTCGTGGTTGTAGGTGGATGAAAGTGAGTTTTTAGTTGCTGGGTAGAGTTAAGGTTATTTATAGTCAAATTCTGCTGACCTGAATACGCAGTATGTCGTCAGCAAAAGAAGTAGATATGTAGGTGGATACTCTTTGTCTCTGATGAGGGATTTCTATGACTCCTCTGCTTGCGCTGGTATTTGCTTTCTTGGTAGGTAATTCGGGCATCGCCGGCACGATTTACGGGACGGCGTCAGCACTAGTAAATTCTACGGTGTGAGATGATGGTGTGAGATGCAGAAAATCAACGTATCAGCTGACAGCGGGACAAGCATTGAGCTTGCAGTTACGAGTGTCAGCCACACCCTTCAGTAGCCTCGTACACTTTACTAATATAAGATTGATGTCATCTTTGTGGTCATGGTTAGTTTAGACCCAAACTCTGACGCCCTAGCATTGACATCCCCGAGTCCCGCATTCACCAACCTAAACCCTAACCTAGACAACTCCCATCAAAACCTTAAACAACAACACCATTCAGCTCGTCCGCCGCAAGCTGCAACAAATCTTCCTGTCCCAACACGTTCTGCGTGTAGCGCGAATTGAACCTCAACACCTTCTTCACCTGATTATACGTATCCACATCCAATACCAACGGCAAGCCACTGACATACCACGACACGCCTTCAGTGCAAGGCGGGGTAGTCAGGGATCCAGAGTATGTGTAAATATCGTTGTTCGTGAAATGTCTCGACACACTACTGAAATCCAGCAGACCTAGCTCGGTAGTGCTGCCCGGCTCGGCGATTTCATTGACGTCTGCGAAGACGGTATTTAGCAGGGGTGTGCTGTGATCCTTGGTGGAGGTGAGATCGATGAGAAAGCCCACCACGGCGATGCTTCCATCTGTGTTTAGTATTCTGAGTTAGCATGAAGGAAAGTAAGCACAGGAGGGTTTATCCTCGTACCTTCGTCCGAAAACACAAAGTGGGCTTCCATGGGAAAATGCTCCTCATCAATCCGGTGCTCGGAAGGCGTATGGAAATGAAACTGCGCCAGGGTGTAGGTATTGTTCCCTACAACGAGGGTGCCATTCGTCAAAGGCACTTCGATGGTGGTCCCGAGGTTCTCGAATTCGAGGTCAGAGACCGTAGGGATGTAGAGAGTGACGGTGCTATTGTTGACCTTTGAAATCTCGGAGCTGCCGATCACGATAGGCGACTGGTGTGTTCCTGTTGCGCAAGCAACGTTGGTGCTTGGGTCAAGACCGTACCAATTCAGGGGGCCTTGCGTGGCGGTGTACCCATAGCTGGGGACGGATACACGTCGAGCAAGCGGGGTGTTGTGGAAGCAGCTAGCTGCGACGGCGGGGATTAGGGCGAGAAGGGACGTCAGATGCATGGCGATATTAGATGATAATGTTATCAATATACGGTGAGACTGAGCGTCTGCAGGAAATGGGAACCCTGGGGTCATGGTTAGTCTATATATAGGTCCATATATCAGCAGTTTCTGGTCTGTTGAAGATACAAATTGGTAGACATAAGGACGATCAGTCTGGAATGCTGTCCAGGTTACATTGACATCAACATTAGAAGACAACTACGAGTGACTGTGGAGGTAGTATCCGGATTCTTGGGCTTGTCCTACCAACCATTTAGACTACTTGTTTCTTCAAGAGTCTTTGTTACCGGGAGAATGGATTGGTTGCCGTACTCTCCACCCCTGCATGCCATACATTTACTCCGGGGCTGCAGGTATTTGCCCCTTCCTTACCCGTCCCTTGCATGCATGTATTGCAGAATGCTGGGGCACTACCATGAACCGGATTGCAGTTCTGATCAACAGTGGATTTGGCATTATTGTCTACTTCTCCCCTGGTCAAGTGACAGACGGCCAGGAACGCCAAGCGACGGGAGTTGATAGGACACGGAAATAATCTCCTTCCCTGTTGTCAATTTGATCATTCTTCTGGATTCTCATTAAGGAAACCAAGGAAAGAATTTGTTGATCAATTCTTAAGATACTTCAAGCAGGTTTAGCAGAGAGCTTAACTAGTATCTTAAAGTTCCTATGCCGCTTGAGTAATTACACCGACTGCAGAAGCAGAAGGATTGTAAAAATAGGAGTCAATCTGAACCTGCGGTGGCTGATCTTGTATGACAACCAGAAGAACAGAAAGCAGTCAAACAATGAGACCAGAGAGTAAGCTCCAAGACAAGGTCGTGATACTTCGCACTCAACAGCATCATTACGCACCATCGCTGTTCAGCTGTAGGAGTGTTATCTTCTAATTTCCGCATAATTTGCAGGTAACAAAATCAGAAAAGAAATGCGTATTCATGCTGTGCCCCGCGTCTGTACATCAAGCGGTCAGGAGTAGAAGTAGTATAGCATTGGAATATAGCAGTATCGGGTCGCCTAGAAGCGGTAGTAGCCCCGGTATGTACACCCACCAGACCCAGTCTTCTAAAGTACTAGACATGGATAGATAAGTATTTCCGAGACTTTGGTCCAATGTCTACACGATACTGGACAGTCTGACATCATCCAACTAATTCTCTACACGCCACCGTTATCTCCGAGCCGTATCCCTGACTCATGCGCCCCAAACTAAGCATCTGCCGCCGGCCCCAATTAGCGCCCGGTGTTTCACATGATTTTCCGACGGGCGCATGCGCCAGCGACTGGCTCTTATCCTACGAGAAATTAAAAACATGGTATAAACATGTCCGCTGACCCTATGCAAAACTCCTGGATTGATTGTACTACAAAATAGGCTGGTTTATACAGTTGCGATGAATCAATACATATGGCACAGCCGTTGGTATGTCGTCTAAAGAAGCAATCCCCCGAATGCGCTCAGCCCAAGGATCGTCATCAGGAATCCGCTGTAGGAAAGACCACTGGCATCACTGCTGGATACAGAGGCGGAGCTCGAGCTTGAAGAACCAGAGCTCGACGACGAGGACGAGGACGAGCTACTGGACGAATTGGTCGACTTTGACGATGTGGTGGTGTTGTAGGCCTTGATACTTGTGTAGTCGCCAGTCTTGTCCGTGTAGTTGTAATACTCGGCGGGGGTGTAGTTAATGATGCTGACCGACTCCAGATACATGATAAACGGGCCGTCGCCGTAGTCGGTCTCACCACCGGCCCATTCGATGGTTCCCTCGGAGTTGTCAGGATCACCGCCAGCCCAAATACCGACACGGACGGTCATGGGGGTCTGCGGGTAGTTCTTGCCATCGACAGCGTCCGCATACTCGAGTGTACGGACGACAGTACCATCGAGGATCCATTCGGTCTTGCTGGAAGTCCAGTTGACTCCATAGGTGTGGTAGGTTTCTTCGGGAGTCGTGACGTTCACGGTGGTGGCACGGTCGTAGGAGGTGGTGTTGCCTTTGCCAAAGTAGTTCGTTTGGATTTCCGAGTCCCATGTACTGACTTGCTCCTGGGTAGGGTTAGCATTGGTAGCGTTAAAGTTTGATAGGGCCGTACCCAGTCAATCTCATCCAGGTCGTTAGACTCCATCACACTGGTGCTGACGATACCGGTGCCGTTGGCAGCGCGGAACCTGACCTCTACATATCCGAAAAAGATGTAGAAGTTGGACTCAATAGTGGGGGCATCGCCCTCCTGGCTGATAACGAATTCAGCACCTTTGGAGGTGCTGTTCACGGAATCGGCGGTCACATTCCATCTATCACGCCAAGACGAGCCCTCGGTGAAGTTGGTGGTCAGGGACCACTGGTTGAGACCCTTGTCAGGCGGGCAGGTTTCTGATAGTGTGAGTCAATTATCTTACTCTCCGATAAAGTTGTCGGATACATACTGTTCGTGGGGTTGCAACTCGAGTATGTCTGAGCTGCACTGAGAGGCACTGTGGCAGCGAGGGCAGTCAATGCCCATGACAGATGTGACTTCATGATATTAATCGACGAATAAACTGTCTGAGCGAGTGACTGGAGTATTTAAAACGAAAGAAAGCTGCAACGGAGGCTGGCAACGAGTGTCAGAAGGTTGGAATGGGATTACAGACTGTATATAGGGTACTGAATCATGACCATGTTTGACACGAATACTCAGGGGCAGGCTAGCTAAGGCAGCAGCAAATATTGAGGTTGGCTATAAATTCTCCTTCTTGCTGGGCGCAAGAGCGCTTCCACTGCGTGTGGCCAAGGATGCATAGCCTGGGCAGTGTTCTTGGTACATCTCATTGGAGGAGGGAGTGGAGCGGCTGTCTTGGATGACGGCGTGTTGGCAAGCGGTTGGCTCTGACGCGACAGCAAGTCGACGAGGGATGGGGCCATGCGTCGGCCACAAAGCTTGATGAGAGGCGATGAGATGGCTTGCGCGTCCGCCCAGAAGACGGTTCCTGAACACTTACCCGGAAACAGGCACTTGGCCCGAACGGGAAAAGTGCTGTCGTGGACTGTGGATGCGCATGACGCCTATCAAGACTCAGCCCAATGCAGCAACGATGAAAGGAGCAGTTTCAGAGAATTACTGTCGTCTGTTTTGAAGAATAGTATCAGCTTCTCCAGCAGATTCATTGTGTCGAAACCTCAGTGGCATTATCTTAGGGCGTGGCTGAAGCGCGGGAGCGAGCCGAGATTCGAGGGTTATCGTCGCAAAATCAGTGGATTGGAAAGAAAGATATGAACATTGAACAAAAGCCAATGGGATCGGCTCCGGAAGATCAGTCAAATGGTTCGGTCCCAGCCTCCGCTACTGTGGTCTCAACCAGTAATCGAGCCCGACGCCATGGAACTGCGGATCCCGTCGTGGCAAATGCGTACGTTTATCTTGCCAACGTATATCTGCGTGCCTTGTGACCATGTGTCATATTAGGTTTGAGGCTCGACACAAGGCCATTCTAGAATCTCCATTTTCAGTCTGAGCCTGAGGGTTAACTTTATGATGGATGTTCTCGGGAATCGGGACGTTCCTGGAACCACCCGTCACGAATAGAAACAAAGATGTTGATCTTTATCTCCACCGATGCTATCGGCTATGGTTTGTGCCGGATAGCTATGGCTAGTAGTAGCACAAAGTACATAAGGAATCGCACATCACCTGTTAGCGAGCATACTGCTTCTATTTTAAGACTGATATCTTACTTACCCTCTCTGGACAACATCTCGGGTCTGCGCAGCTCCCAGATGTCTTGTTTGTCCAGTGCATCGCTCTTTGACTGCTAGAAGCTCGCAGAAGTTGACATCTACCGCGAACTAATGATGTGATAGAAATAAAGATGGATTCTGATAACGTGATGTGGATGGAGCGCAAAAGAAAGCGTAGGTACCGAAACGTGCTCATTCATCATCCCTTAACTCGCACGTGAGATCTCTCTTGCAGATCATTTTATCAGGTCGTTCTCGGCTACCTACCTCGAACAAGGTGCCCCAGGCTCGCTAGTTATAGAACAATTGTTTGAGTCATCAAGTCACTAGTTTGCTGCTTATTCACCTTCATTAAATCAATTGGGTGACAACCAGCTTCTCCTGTTAGTGTTGCTCCGTGGGTCTCGCCAATACCCATCTCAAACTGCATCAGATGCTATGGAGGGAACGCGACCAATTTTTCTCGGTTGCTGATTTGACCCTGTTTAATCTACGGCGGTGCGATCATCATTGCCTTACTCATCGACATCTGATATGCTATCTAGGGTTAGTGGCTCAACTCGGCCCATACATTCCTAAATGTTTATTGCAACGCTCTCTACACTTGCCTTTTCGCCCCACTGTGGCAGCTACCACAAGAGACAAAGAACTTAGTACGAGGATGTACACAAGGTCAATGATCCCGCTGGGATGAGGCTCCCACTGAACGTCACACGCAGCCCACCAATACAGTTACGCAGGATGCGTGTGCCACACAATGCAAAGATGTCGCTGAATCTAAGAGGGTTGTTCGTCACGGTTAAAGCTTGTTGGTTCCCGGTTCTAACGTTGGCATGAATGTGGAAAACTTGGAGTGGTCGTCATGGAAAAGGAATGGGATCTGAGAGTGAGGCTCAGGAGCCACGGCCTACATCAGTCACAGGACATGCTTCCTTTTTCCCGCCCAGCTCTATCAGTGCCAGCAGAAAGAAATACGATGCACCAGGCAGTCATTTACAGCAGGGCTCGATGACGACTTTTTATGAGGTGTTGGAGTGCAGGGATAGAAAGCAGAAAGAACTGGTTGATTGTATGACAAATCTTCAACCCGGAGATGGTTATTGTGCTTTCTAACTCGAGGCACAGCAGAAGTATGTGCAGCTGAGTTGGAGGGCGTTGAATATTTACCGAGGCAGTACCAACAAAGGGCGTTATCATCTAGCTCGATAGAAGCTTACTCGCCTTCTTCTCCTTCAGTCTTGCCCATGGTCTCTGTCTAGGTGGTGGACTTCTCGAGGTAGTACGGATCCCTTGCGTTGGGTCAACAGCTCCCCAGATCTTGAGCTTTCGGACTGATGGTACCCTTTTCTTTGCGATCATGTCAGTCGCCTGCAATGTTATTGTGGGTCATTTGGCTGTACCAGAGGTGTGGCCAGCTGATATCGACTTATTTATGCATGGATGTCGTGTTCGGACTTTTGGGAGGAGTAGACGGTGGTGCAGAAGCAGGGCATTTTGCCTGGTGTTTTCCATTTGGTTGCAGTATGCCGGCATAATTAACTCACGTCACGAAGTATCAAAGCAATCCAAGCAATGCGAAAGATGACTGCTTCAGAGTCCTCTTGTTAGACATACCGAACCATAGTAGGCTATTATGTGGAGGGGGGCCTCACACAGAATGGAGCACTGCGCATAGTGGGATCATGAGCGGATTTACAGCGATGGGTAACTATGGGGTTAGGCCGGTAGTGTCACGGTAGTATTATCCTCGAATGGTTCGGTAGCTTGAGGGGTTTAAGTTCAACTAGTTGACTTTCATGAAGGTCTGCGGCGAACTACGGCGTATCAAACTTAGCCATATATATAGCCGACACTGGGTGGTATATGAACCAACAATATGGTAAAATGCGTAGTAACTTCCAGATTGATCAGTAAGCCTAAATACTGCATCAATAAGCCGAACCGATTGACATCCTTAGAACGAGTGTGAGATAATCACAATAGTACAATAGGTTGAATATCCTGTCATGTACTGAATTCTGCGCCGCAGAATATTGCTGTGCATGGTGGTAGTTCATAACACTTGAAAAGAAGGTAAGTTTCCGTCAGCAAAATCAGATAGTCTACTGGTTAGCAACAGCATCATTGGTCTAGTGGTAGAATTCATCGTTGCCATCGATGAGGCCCGTGTTCGATTCACGGATGATGCACCATCTTTTTGTTTCTATTTTCTTCAGCTTTGCTGATCACAATTAGTCGTATTTACCCCTCATATCCGCCTCACCTTGCTCCACTTCCTTAGTTACCTTTCCTAATTGGGCAGATCATCCTTTATCTTCCTGGTAGTTCATCTTTTTGTTTTAAGACCTTTCAGGTCTGCAGTTAACATGTCTTTTCGACACTTCCACTTTCTAGCCACTTCAGTGCCAATCGGGATTTGGACTTCGGATTTTCGCCGCCATGGTACCTGGTTACTGCAGCTAGCACACCTCACTAGGCATTAGCTTTTTCAGCTGAAGACAATTGCAGGGATCGGTGACTGCCAATAGCTACGATCGCCGACCCGCCGGGGTCGGTCCCACCGCCCTGTTTGCTTATCGCCGACGGCTGAAGCGGAGGTTGGGCCAATGGACAACAATCTCCCCAACTAGCTACCATTAGCTATCATTATAGTTGCAGCTAATAGATTAAAAGCAGAGACTTGCGGAATTGCTCCTTCGTGCGGAGACCAGCTGAGAAAACAATCAGACCCGCATGGACTTGCCCCATCGGTGCTTTCCTTATCCGTCACGTCCGACCTCGGCAGCCCATTTCTCTGTACTATTTATTCATGCCTCTCGCTTTTGCTTGCTAGCTAGCTACCAGGCACGGTAGGGAATTGAGAGGCACTCACCATGCAGCTCTCGTTGTTGGCTCTTCTTGGAGCGTTGGCGCTGCCTAGCGCGGCTGTTCCCCATGCGCGCGATGAGGGACAATGCAAGCAGACCACTGTTGCCATTCTGTATGACTACCATCGGGCCTGAAGTGCGATCAAAGCTAACCTCGACAGTGGTGGAGGAATGGCTGGTATTGCTGCTGCCGTAGGTCAATTCCTTTGTCCCTTCAGAAGGAATTCCACTTGCTCATATGTTACCAGCAAACGCTGCACAATGCCTCCATGGAAGACTTCATGATCCTCGAATACCGCGACACCATTGGCGGTCGCGCCTGGCATAAGCCCTTTGGCCAGGACAAAGATGGCAACCCGTACATCATTGAGATGGGTTGCAACTGGGTATGTCATTCATTGAAGGTGGCATTCTGCACGGCTAACAATCACAGGTCCAAGGACTCGGCACTCCTGGGGGTCCGCAGAACCCCGTCTGGACACTGGTAAGTCTCCAGCCTTCATCACCACACCACTACTCTAACCCTCAAAAGGCACAAGTCTACAATCTCTCCACCATCTACTCCAATTACAGCAACGTGTCGACCTACAACCAGTACGGATACAAGGACTACTCCCAGCTGATGGACGTCTGGGACGACATCTACGACGCCGCCGCCGCCCAAGCCGGTGTCATGCTCCTCGACAACCTGCAGGACCAGACCGCCCAGACTGGCCTGGCACTGGCTGGCTGGCGCCCCAAGGTCGACGACATGGAAGCGCAAGCCGTTGACTGGTGGTCATGGGGTGCGTCGCCCACCTAAAATCCAAACACACGTACACACCACTAATTACCACGAAACACAGACTTCGAAGACGCCTACACGCCCCTCGAAAGTTCCTTCATCTTCGGTGTCGCTGGCCAGAACCTCACCGAGAACGGCTTCAGCGACGAAGACAACTTCGTCATCGACCAGCGCGGCTACAGCCACATCATTCACGGCATGGCGTCGACTTTCCTCAAGCCCAACGACACCCGCCTGCTCCTGAACAACCACATCACCAACATCAGCTACTCCGACTCCGGAGTGACCGTCCACAGCTCCGACGGCTCCTGCGTGCGCGCCTCCTACGCCATCTGCACCTTCAGTCTGGGCGTGCTGCAAAACAAAGCCGTCACCTTCACCCCATCCCTGCCCGAATGGAAGAAAGAATCCATCGAAGGCTTCACAATGGCTACCTACACCAAGATCTTCCTCCAATTCAACGAGACCTTCTGGCCCGAAGACACCCAGTACTTCCTCTACGCGGACCCCTACATGCGCGGCTACTACCCCGTCTTCCAGTCCCTCAGCACAGAGGGCTTCTTCCCAGGCTCGAACATCATCTTCGTCACCGTGACGGAGCAGTTCGCCTGGCGCGCCGAACGCCAGTCCGATGAGAAGACCAAGGCGGAGGTCATGGAAGTCCTGCGCAAGATGTTCCCGGAGAAGAACATTCCCGACCCCATTGCGTTCATGTACCCCCGGTGGACCCTGGAGCCCTGGGCGCATGGCAGTTACTCGAACTGGCCGCCCGGCACGACGTTGGAGATGCATGAGAATCTGCGTGCCAATGCGGGCAGATTGTGGTTCGCCGGTGAGGCGACCAGTCCGACCTACTTCGGATTCTTGCATGGGGCGTGGTTCGAGGGCCAGGCTGCGGGGCTGCATATCAGCAGTATTCTGAACGGAACTTGCAAGGCGAATACTACTTGCAAGGGCAGGAAGCATTATGAGACGCTGCATGGAACTACGCCACTGGCGGATTACAGTTTCGTGGATGGGTGGAACGGAAACAGTTTTTATGATTTCAACGATGATTAAACTGTTCCCCCTCTTCCCTCCCTCATTCTCTTCTTTCACCGGCTCTACGTGGTGAACTGAATGTGTGTGGTGTATATATATAGTATGAATATAACATATCATCATTTAAGCCATCTACTATCTATTCAACTATAGTATCCATCCCATACATCACTCATAATCATAACAAACCCCCCTCCCCCGCCCGGGATGGGGAGGGGATTCACCAATCACAAAAATGCACATTAAGACTAACGTTCCCATTGGTCATGACACCTCCCTGACTAACGCCATGACAAGTCTCCACGACATCCTCGAACCCATTAAGACAGTCCTCAAAGCTATCAAACACACCTGTCTTGCCCACGCTGGCGTGCACCTTCGTCGGGCTGGTCATATTGTTGACGAAGTGGTCCCAGTCGCCGTAGAGCACGTTCCACCGGTACTGGCAGTATTGCAGGGAGTAGAATTCCTTGATGCTGATTAGGGAGGCGCAGTTCGAGCCACCGGTCTCGGGGTAGCAGATTGCGGAGAGGGCGGCGGTGGGGAGGAGGGGAAGGAGGAGGGTGGAGAGATGCATGTTGCTTCTATTGTTTTCTTGTTCTTGGGTGTCTGGTGGGGAGTGGTTAGTTAGATATATAGGGGGGGGGGGAATTGGTGGTTACTTTTGTGGTTGTGATGTAGAGTATGTATGTAGTAGAGGAATGAAGAATGGTGTGATGAAAGGAGAAAATAACGAAGCGAACCTAGCCCCGGGGTTATACAGTAATAGGTATAAATACCCTCATTCCACCGACTACAGTTGCTAGCTATCAAAGCAAGACAACCCACGCCAGGGGTACCTGCATCCCACCCCAAAGTAGGGAAAGATCACCAAGATTTTTAAAACAAGCATCAGGAATGTTATGCATGTCTATCGAATTCAAATCGCAATTTCTACCTATCGCTAACAAACACAAACCCAAATCGTGTGAAACAAATCAACCCTTACAGCCAGCCACTCACTCTGGCACATTACACCCGGCAAGGGATCAAATCAAAAATCCCACTGCCTCAACCAATTGCCCATCAGATCCCCCGTTACTGCACCCAATCCCTCCATGGTCTTGCTACCCCCGCGCGTCTGCTCCACACTGATACTCGCCGAGAGCATCTCGCCCGTGAGTCCGCGGTAAAAATCAAGCAGCTTCAGCGCGGGCTTTTCGCGCACCTCGGTCTCCGACGGCGACTTGATCGCTTCCAGCTCGTCCAGCCACTGGTTCAGCGGCACCGCCTGCATACCGGGGTACTTGTCCTGGATGGCGGGGACGAGGGTCGCCCAGGGTGTCTTGCAGGGGTTGACGAGGTGGTAGACGGCGTGCGGAGTGGCAGATTGGTTTTGACGACGGGTGTGCATGAGTTCGGTGGTGATGGCTGAGAGGGTATCCTAGCAATACCATCCAGATTAGCTTCCATTCCCACCCATACTTCTAGATCAAAACAGAAGGAAACGAAGAGGATCACTTACAACAGGCACCCAATCAACCTCACACCCACCCAAATTCGCCGGCACCTTCCCAACAGCCTTACTCGTCTTCACCAGCGTCGGCACCCACTCATCCAAATTCCACATCCCCTTCACACTCGTCGGCCCGGCAATCTGCCCAACCCTAAATACCGTCGTCGGCACGCCCGGCCCCTCAGACGCAGCCAGACACAACCTCTCACCGACGAACTTCGACTCGCCGTACCCCTGCACCAGCACTGCATCAACACTTTCCACCGGCTTCTCTGGCACCATGGGGCCCAACTTCTCCGTCCATCCGCCGATGGTACTCACACTGGACACGAACGACAAATGCGCGTTATACTTGCTCCTCACACTAAAGGAAATGAACTCCACCACGCCCTTGATATGCGGGTCCTCGAACGACTCGAGCGGGTGATTGAAGTTAACCTTCCACGCGTTGTGGATAATGAAGTCCACATTCTCCAGGAGGTCTGCGTACTTGGTCTCGCTAAGACCGAAGCGTGGTGCGCCGAACGAGACAGTAAGGAACTCTACCCGGCTGGGGTTGAGCAGCGCGGTGTCCAGACCCTTGTCGGCGAAGCTGCGCTGTTGGCGGTCGGCCGCGTCGGAGCGGTTGAAGCAGTAGACTTTTCCGACGTTAGAGTCGATCAGCAGGCTGTGAAGGAGGTAGGTTCCTAGCGATCCGGTCGAACCGGTGAGGATCACGGTGGAGTTGGCCGGGGCAGGGACGGCAGGGGTCGTGCGGCGCGGGAGCTGGGAGGTGTATTTCTCGATGGTGGCGGCGAGGCGGTCGGCGCGGGAGATGGTCGTTGTACGCAGGTTGCCGGTCACTAGGTCGTGCAGGTAGACAGCGAGCTGGGAGATGGAGGGGTTGGCGTAGATCTGCTGCTGGGAGATTTCGTGGCCAGCGGGATAGCCGCCGGCGATGACCGCCTTGTTGAGGGTTTTGGCGAGCTGGATGGTCTGCAGCGAGTCCAGACCAGCGGCGTAGAGGTCCTCATCGTCGCGGAGGTCGGCGCGGTCAAGAAGATTGGCGATCAGAGAGCGGACGAAGGTGCGGAGGTTGTCGATGGTGAGGGTAGTGGGGAGCTCAACAGCGGCTGTTTCTTCCTCGGCTGCTGCGTAGATGGCTTCGATCTCATCTTTGTAGTCCTGATTCACGGCGTGGCGCTTCGTGGTGCCCTTGGGGGTCAGTTGGAAGGGCTTCTTGGGATCAGAGAGGCGGATCTTGTTCTTTGCGATGCGGCCGTACTTGGGGACGGCTTCATTGGCGCGCTCCACGGTGGGCCAAATGCCTTCAATGAAGACTTTTTCGTCAATGGTTTCGCCCTCGATAGCCCAGTTGGGCTCGATAAGGAGGGCTGTATCAAAGCGGGCTTGGCCGATGAGGAGAGCACGGTGGACGCGCGGGTGTCCCTCGACGATCTTCTCCAGGGTTATAGGGTTTAGCTTCTCGCCGTTGCTGAGCACGATCACGTCATCGAGTCGGCCGTGGTATTTCCACATGTGAGAATGCTCGGGGTGTCGGATGAAGAGGTCGTTGGAGTGGTACTCGGTGAGGTCTGGGAAGGTATGGAAGATGCCGTGGATCCGGCGACTGTCTGCTCGGCGGGGAATGACGAGCTCATACATATCGTCACTGACATGCTGCATGTCCACTCCATAGGCTGGGTTCCAATCGAAGTAGCCCCATACATTCTTGCCTTGGGGGACGAGCGAGGAGATGATACCCATTTCGCTGGATCCGATGACGGTGATCATCTTGGTGAGTTGAGACAGGTCATCGCCGACTTCTGGAGCGAGAGGAGCGCCGGCGAAATAGACGTATTCAAGGGTGCTGAGGGCAGTGCGGGCGGCCGGGACGTGGGACATGTCTTCGAGGACGGAGGGAGGCAGCATAGCTGCTGCAGGTTTGATTGCGGTGATAGCGGAGGTGATGAGGTTCGCGGAGAGAGGCTTTTCGGGAAGGATGACGAAGGGAATGTGGTGAAAGAGGGATTCGAAGAAGGCAATTAGGCCCATGAGGTGGAAAAAGGGTGTGGTGGAGAGGACGAGGGTGTCAGGCTGGAGGTCGTTGAACAGCGTGGATTGTCGAAATTGGGGACGCGAGATATATGCGGCGTAGTCGATGGTGGCGAGGAAGCCGTGCGTCAGGGGGACGGGTTTAGGCATGCCTATATCGGTTAGATGTGCTAATAATCAAGGTTGTGGCATGGGTACCTGTTGTGCCGGAGCTGTGGATGATGATGGCGACATCGTCCTCGGCTTCCTGGTAGGTCTTGGTGTAAAGGTAGGGCTGGGCAGTGGTGCTGAAGAGCTCCGTAAGGGAGGGCACTTCGTGGAAAGTAGTATCCGGGCGGAAGGCTTGAATTTCCGACACGCGGCGCTGCTTTTCAGGTGTGTAGAAGAAGGCCTGACAGTCGGTAGCGTTGAGGATGTGCTGGTAGGCGTCGTCGGATAGACGTGTAGAGGGGAGGAGGGGCTGTTCTGTCAGAAATTGGATGTAAAACTACAATATGTGGGACATACCTTGTATCCCGTCTTATGAGCGGCCAAGAGGAAGATCAAGTATCGCACATCATTGCTAGCCATGTAAGCGATAGTCTTTGGCTCCTGGGCGCGTCCGATCTGCTTCTCGATCCACCAAGCAAGGGCGTCCACCGCGCGGGCCAGACGCTGGACGGTCACAGTATCATAGCCATCGGAGACATCAGCACCCGTGGGAATGAGACCGATGCGCTGAGCAGGGTTGGCTTGAGCGAGGTGGTCGACGACCACGGGGAGGAGGCGTTGTCCGGGAGTGGCGGCCATTGGCGTAGTAAGTAGTATTAGAGTTTATGAAGTATAGTTTGGAAATAGCAAGTCTATATGCGGTGAGAACAGTTTTGAGCAGTGAAGAACGAACAGAACAGAACACGATGCAATGATGAGGATAGAACCAGAAATCGAGCGAGTTTGCGAGGTATTTATGTCCAGGTGTCATTTCTGTGCGCGAATTCAGACCAAACCTTGGACATTATGGTGGCCAGGGGAGGAGCCGATTATCCAGGCAAACGGTGACACTAGACGGACTTATGCCGGTGGAGCAGTCTGCAGTGACGCTGCCGATCAATTCTAGAAAGTACCGACAGGGCTATGTGCATCATCTACCGGTATTAACTAAACCTACTACAACTCTTAACGACTACGTTCATGCACCAACAACCAATCCATTACCATAGACATAGTTGGAATACCGAATCTCAAACTTCTTCTCATTATCAAGAACAAGAACCTTGGCAAATCTATCCACTTACCACGGACTCCATCCACACCCCGAAAGCTTAGCAAACCAAGTCTCCGGTCCAGCTGTGGCGGCGGGATATCCGTCTCGGCGATAGTCTAGTATCTAGATAAGAGGGATATCCTATCTCTGTTAGTACATAGTATCTTGAAATTCCTTCGGAATGCTGCATTGCGTACCCCTGCCTAATCGGACCAGGGATGTAGTGCCGTCGTATAGTATTACCTGATGCGGATTGTGCAACGCCATCATACGATATCCATTTATGAATACCCACCATCTATATCATCCGCCACATACACTATGTAGCGGGCATCAGGCACAAACAGTAAGCACGGTAAACCGAGCACTGTGTTATTCCCGAGCAAAGAGAAAACAAGAATCAGAATGAAACAGTCGAGTGGGGCGAGAAAGGGCAATCCAAGTTGTCTAAATCAGAGGATATTACTGCTTTGGGTAATTTTGGAGCGCGTGTCGGATTTCGGCATTCTCAATTGGGAGTAATGCTCCGTAATGATAATAATTGGTTGATATTGGTGGTAACACTAACTGAATTAGGTAATATGCAACGAGGGGCCGGCTGTTTTAAGCTACTCATGACTTTGTTTGTGGAGGAAGAGGGCGGGACACGGATTAGTGATGATGACATTGTGCAGAGTTGGATGTACCTTGCATAAGTTGCTGATCATACGAATGTTGGGATACATATCTGTGCCATTATAGTAGTACTTTCTAACCAACCTCCCTATCTACAATCTCAAAGGTTTCACAGGAGGTCAAGTCTCCACATGTACAGTAGTACCTGTTGAATGTTTATCCCTCCTGGAAATAATGATTGCGCGGCACTTCACATCAACCATTAGCTGACAGTAACTCTGATCCATGGTTGACGTTCGGGTTTACATTAATCGATGGTGGATACTTTTACTGCCTCTCCCTCCTGAACCACAATCATAATGCAGCCATGTGGCAGCATATCTACCACAGACCATCTAGCCCCTGCACCATTCCAGTCAGGAATAATAGACAAAATCAGTATACCTATACTAATACCTAGAGAACCAAGCACAAAATCCCTCAACCCTATATTTGGCTCCCATACTCCGCCACTACCCAAACACCTTCCATTCCACCAACCGCACCATCTTCCCCGTCTTAGGCGTAAACACCAACCTCAACGCCTCCGTCTTCACCTCATCCCAGCTAACCGTCGTGATTCCATTCGCCACCGCCGAGCTATAATTCCCATTACTCACCTCCTCCCACTCCCCTGTTGAGCCAGTGCTTTCCACCCGATAGCTCTCCGGCACATCATACCCCTGCGTACTATTCGCAAAGAACGCAATCTCAGCACTTGCTGTGCTTGTTGCATTTTCAAATTCCACTTGGTACCACACTTCTGTACCATTGCCGACGGGACTATCCCACCCGTTCGCGACGTCCTCAATCCAATAGAACCAGACTCGTCCGTCAATAGCCGCGTGCACGTCGTCCGCATCAGCGTCTGCCACAGATACACTACCCCGCGGATACTCGCTATCAGCGGCGAGTTGCACCGATACGGCGATGGGGCGTGATACTTCCGGCGCAGAAGCGGAGCTTAACTCAACCGTGAGACGGGTGAGGGTTTTGCTAGTGGCCACTGTTTCGCCGTCGACCTCAACGACGAGACCTACCGTGCCGTATTGACTGCCTGTGGAGTCCCATTGCACGGCAACATCGTGACCGTGGTAGAGGATGCGCTCGGCGCGGAAGTAGCTCACTGCCGAGGCGTCCGCCTGGGGGTTCACTTCTAGGACATCGTCCGCACGAGGTCGGATACCCACGTAGCCAGAGAGAATGAGGTCGACGAAGCCTGAGTGAAAGTAGTGCGGGGAACGAGGCAAGCCGACGATGGGGCTACCCGTGTCAGAGTAGTAGTCTTCTTCGATGTCGAGGACGCCGCCGCGGGCGGGGTTGTAGTGCAGTTGAGCGTACTGGCGAAGAATGCTGGTGTAGTCTGCGGTGGTGATGACGCCTGTTGCGGCGGTTTTCGGGTAGTGGTCGAGGAGGTTGGCGAGGCCCGTCAGGACTTGCGTGGTTTGATAAGGCCAGGCGGGGCCGTTCCATTGGCATTCCGGGTTGGAGCCGTCGTAGCGGTACTGGACCATGTAGTATTGGTAGCTGGGCTCGTTGGTGCGGAGGCCATGCTCGCCCGCTAGCTGCGAGGAATTGAGGATATGAGTCCATGCGTTGGCGTAGGTGGTGTTATCGTCTGGAAGGTCGTGCGTCCAAGGAACGTAGCCCACGAGTTCGCGGCCGCGAATGAAGTCCCAATAGGTGACGTATTCGTTGTCTTCCTCGTAGCGGTCGATGAAGTGCTCGAAGGTGCTGTTCCAGAGGTCGTCCTGGAGGCGGGTCTTGAGGGCGCTCGCTAGTTGGGTATACTGCTCGCGGACGGCAGTGTCGCCGGTCAGATTGGCGATGTGAGCGATAGCCAGGGCGTTGGCGTATTGGTAGCTGTTGATGCTGGGTCGGAAGGCATATCCGCCTGTGAAGCCATCTTCGCCGCCGGAGGCATCAATGCTGGCGATGGTGTATTCGGTCGCGTCCGTCAGGGGCTGGATCCAGTATAGGTCCTTGGAGGTGTCGTAGCCACCGACGCCGAGGGTGGTGGAGTTCCAGCCGGCATAGACGGTCTGCATGGAGGAGAGCAGGGGAGTGGCATCATCGGCGACACCGTTGACCAGGTAGGCCTGCCAGACGCCGTCGGCCATGCATTCGGAGAATTGGTAGGGGTCGCCATTTGGGCCGAAGAGGAAGGACGAGTAGTCACTGGTGAAGCGACGGTCGCGACACCATCGGCCTTCGCGCAGATGGAAGTTGGAGGCATCGATCAGCAGGGCATAAGGTTCTTCCTGCCAGCTAACATCGTTGAGGAACTCTGTCGTGATGTAGCCGTAGGAGCCAAGGTCGCGCTGATGGGCCCGGAAGATGCTCCAGCGATAGTAGTAGACATCTTGGATATCGGAGAGATCAGTCTCAAAGAGAGGGATCCGATCGCTATACCAAGGTGCATCGTTCCCAAAGTAATTGCTCAAGATGGCGTCGGCATCAAGGGCAGACGCGCCCAAAACGCCTGCAAGGGCGAAAACCTGCAGAGACCGCATGATGGATGTGCGTCATGGTGAAGGTAGGTAGAGCAATCGTTGTACTCTTATTTGAATGAGAATCAGAGCGCATTCTCCTCAGGGACAATCTCCGGTGGAGGAGAGGGGATGGTAATTTAAACCGCAGGGGATTCGGAGGGCATGGAATTCGCCGATTGGCGGGTATCGGCGATCAGGGGAGAACGTCTCGCAAACCACGCAATTAAGCTCATCAAATCTCTCCTGCGGGGGTGGCTCGGACGTGCAGTCCTTCAGACACCCCAGACGTGGTATTACTGCATCTGCAAGTCATCAGACCATTGCTATCCTGGGTGGGATGGTGGCATGACAAGTCGGGGTGCATGATAAGGTAAGAGAGACACGGGATACGAAACAGGATAGCAGCCCACGTCTGTAAACAGGGAGTTTTGCAACTTTCTCTGTATTATTTTCATCTTTTAGAAAAACGCAACTAAAAAAATCGAGTGAACCACCCACCCAAGCAAAAGGGGGGAGTGAGAGAGAAGGCAAGAAAGATGCAGAAAAAAAGAATGCATCATCCGTGAATCGAACACGGGCCTCATCGATGGCAACGATGAATTCTACCACTAGACCAATGATGCTGGTATATGATAATGGCTGCCTTATTTATTTATCTGAGCTATTTATGCAGAATCCCTGTCTTTCGTCCCCTCTACGAATACAGAAGTACTCAAATATTATACAAGTGGACCAGTGATGTGGAACATCGTAAACAACTCCATAAGGATCTGCATACATGAAAGGCAGTTTGAGATGAAATTCCATAAGTGCTTGAATGAAATCAATGGAACAGGGCAGGCAGGCTATGTCACACTCTCGAATCAGACGACGACGTCGGAAGTTGAGATGATCATAAACGAAGATGGGGCTTCTGATGTTTTCCATGCAGGAGTAGTAGGTGATATAAAATGCTCTAGCAGTGTTCCTTCATGGTGGAAGTGTAATGCTCTGGGAAAATACCACCAACAATTTGGCATTGTTTTCACCGTTTATATACTATTTTCATCGGCACCACTCTCCTCTTATTAGTTCTGGTACTCGTAGCATGAGGCTAGCATTAACCAAGCCTGACTCCATTGAACGCAATCTCCGCTGCAAGATTACTCATCAATCAAAAACCTTGAAGACTTCCAGTAGTTGAGACGTTTACAAATATGTTGGATTACATTGCAGACTCTCTCCGATAGGAACTAGGTACAGAGCACAGGTCATTATATATTCTCCTGATTGCCATATTCAAAGCTGCTCACTAGGCCTGCGCCATATTACGGACACTCGAGAGAGCCGCATCAGTTAGAGACTTCCACTTTCCACGCCCCTTCCAGCGTCGACTTCTTCAACACCGACAGAGCCAAGTCCCCCAAAGTCGCCGCTGACAACAACTCCAGAATCTGCAAATGCCCCTTCAGCTCCTTTCCAATCCAATTTCTCAACTCAATCGCATTCAACGAATCCAACCCAAATGTTGCAATTGGAGTCGACTGTGTATGCGCCTCCACCACTTCTCGGGGGAGCATGAGAATCTCGCCAAGTTTGTCGCGCAGGCTGACAGCCGCGATGTCCAGGGCTTCCTGGAGATTGGCTGCACGGCGGAGTTGCTGGGTAATGGAGAGGGATCTTGTAGATGAGGCATTGGCAGTATCGGTGCCTTCGCTTTGCCTAGCGGCTTCGACGAGCTGGGTGAAACGGGCATCGGAGGCGTAGTATGGAGTTGGGCTTGGGGGAGCCCAATGAACACCGGTGATGCACTGGTCCGCATTCAAGCTGGTCAGGCGTCCCTGCATCGCCATCTCCACTAGGGCTAGCACCTCCACTTCTTGCATCGTATTGCCTGATGCTAGGTTCTTCATTACCTGTGCCTTTCTTTCCGCATCATCGGAGAGCACGCCGACGTCGCCTACCGCGGCAAGATCGATAGATACTGCGGATAATCCCTTTTGGCGGCGGTAGCGCGCCAACGCATCCAAAAAGCAGTTGCCCGCAGCATAGGCAGCTTGCCCGCGGTTACCGACTATGCCGGCAACAGAGGAGAGCATGACGAAGAAGTCTAGTGGCTGGTGGAGAAAGACGTTGTGAAGATTCCAGGCTGCTGCGACCTTGGGTCGCAGGACGGCATCCCAGTCTGAAAAGGTCATTTGTTCGAAGAGAACATCCTGCCCAATATTAAAAAAATGCATGCAAAGGGGAGAACACAAAAAATGGCGGGCGACGGGGAGTGGAGTTGGGATATATATACCTTGAGGACCATGGCTGCGTGAATAACACCTTTGACTGGAGGCAGTTCCTTCTGTAATTCTGTAACCATCTCCTTAACATGCGAAACTTCAGACACATCGCATTTTCTGATGTAGATTGATGCACCCAAGTCGTGGCATTCGCTGATAACCTTCTGCGTAGCTTCCGTGGCAGCGCCACTGCGGGAGAGCAGGACGATATGCCTAGCCCCACGCTGAACGATTCTCCGAGTGATAGACTGACCAACACCTCCAGTGCCACCGACGATAATATACGTGGCATTGGACGAAAGAAGGTTACTGGAGGGAAGGGGGTGTGTGGCCTTGACTTTCCCATTGATCCGATGATCCACAACAACCTTTCCTGTCGTCTTTCCACTCTGCAACTTGCGCAGCACCGATTCCACCTCCCCAATACCTACAGTCGTTACCGGATATACAGGCGTCAACCTTCCCTGTGCGAACATCTTCATAATAGAGGTCAAAACCCGGTTCAGAACTTTGCCCCTTTGTTCCGCAACAAGCGTCAAATCCAAAGAGGAGAAGGTGCAGTTGTACTCAAACTTGCCCATCTCCAGCCGGGTGTTGGAAGTGATATCCCGCTTTCCAATCTCAATGAACCGCCCAAAGGGCGCCAGGCAGTCCCAAGTCTCCCGAAGGAAGTCGCCAGCCAGCGAGTTCAATACCACGTCCACGCCCCGGCCATTTGTTGCTTCACGGATGCAAGGTCCGAACTCGGTGTTGCGACTGTAGAAGATGTGACTCGCCGGGATACAGTACCGGTTAATTAGCATTTGCTTCTTCTCCTCACTGCCTACAGTGGCGTAGATCTCGGCTCCCGTCAATTGAGCCAGCTGGATCGCAGCCTGGCCGACGCCACCCGCAGCTGCATGGATGAGGATGCTTTCACCGACTTCCATCTTAGCCAGCTCCATAAGCCCATAGTAGGCCGTGCTGTAAGTGACAGGAACAGAAGCAGCCGTCTCGAAATCCATAGAGTCCGGAATCAGAGCTGCGCTGGTTGCTGGACACCGCGCGTAGGTGCTATACGCGCCGTGAGACATGGCACATACGCGGTCCCCGGGCTTGAGGGAGCTGACATTGGCTCCGACACGATCCACGGTCCCGCTACACTCAATACCCAAGTAAGGGCTGGCGACTTGGCCCATGGCAATTACCACATCCTTGAAGTTGGCTCCGGTGCAAGCCACCTTGATCTCGATCTCGTCGGCCCCAAGCGGCTGAGCCGGATCATCCGTCCAGTAGAGGGAGTCCAGGGCGCCCAATGTGCCGACAGCGATCTTCAACCGACGATCCGTTCCTTGGTCAAATTCCTGCGTGTATGGAAATGATGGATGGGTCCGCTGGAAGAGAGCATTATTCAGCTCAGCTTGCTCTGTTAGACGAGGGACCATCAGACGCCCACCGACTTCAGTAAATTCGTAGTCAGTCAAAAGCGTTTGGTCCTCATCACTGGCGGCCTTATGGCCAATGCTGGTTGACGCCTTGAAGGCATCCATGATCAGATGGGCTCGACCTGCTATGTCTTGCCTAGAGCTAGGATCCAAGTCGAGGCTGAAAGCTGCGTTTCCGGTCTCTGAACGCACAGAACGCAGAAGTCCCTGACTGAGGTTGAGCTCGGGTTGATCGACAGCCAAGTATCCACCGGAGGTGACCCAGAGACAGTAGGAGCATGTGATGAGGAGTTCTTGGACCAGCTTGAAGGATTCTGAGGTCAATGACTGCAATAGCGGAGCGTCCAGTTCAGCCAAACAGATGTATCGATACTTGGATGAGATGGGGGCGCGGGATAAGGGGACTACAGCGGCAGTGTACACTGTACTGGTTTCGATAGCTTTTAGGAGCGAAGCGATGAGTGGATCAGAGCTGTTTCTCTCGCTGACGATAACGATGGTTGTCTCGTCATCAGATGACGACACTTGCTTGTGCCCATTAGATGTGCTGTGACAGCCGTTGGCGTGGGTAACGCCATTCCCATTCATTTCGCCATGCCCATGTCCATTAGCCTGGCCATTCCCATTACTCTCTAGGGTAATTGGAGCTGTGCCATTTGCTTCGAAAGGAAACGATACGGGCTCCCACTGCACCGTGTAACACCATGGATGCGGGCGAGATTCGACCAACATGTCACTGTTGACGGGGACCATCCGGAAGCCGAGAAGAGTGAGCACGGGCTGCTCTGCGGATGTAGGAGACCACGCATCAATGGTGAAGTCTACTGCCCGGGGACAGGAAGTGTCTGCTGACACACCATTGACGAGAGTATCAACTGTCGCTCCCGGCTGAGATGGGAAATTGGCTGCAATGTTTATTTCTCGGATATAAGTTGGCATGAAGAGGCATGGAATACTGTCATGGCCCGCCCCCAGAACCAGGAAGGACAACTGGACGCACAGATCCAGGAAGGCAGGAGACACAGTCAACGGTGACTCATGGCCTGATGGCATAGTGAGTGCTGTTGCAGGAACTGTAACCCTGCCGCGTGCATACCTGCTGGACCCGGTGTCTGCGCCCCCGACGGTCAACCCGCTGTCTGAACCGAATGTGAACGCATCGCTGTATCCAGCTCCGCAATTCCTTAGATCAGTATAGAAGGCCTCCGGAGACACAGGGAGGTGTTCACCCTGGTTAGCCTCCTCCCGTCGTTTTAAGCTGGCATGAAATGGTCGGCGCTCGCTGACAGGGTTGGAAGTAGACGACTCCTGGCGTCTGATGCCGACGAGACCACGACAATGCTCTCGCCAACCGCGACTAGCCGCCCATGAGACAATTCGAAACTCGTCCCATTCGCTGGAGTAGGAGCGGGTGCCTTCCGTGAACGCGCTTAGAGAGAGCCAGGTCTCGTACTCGACGTTCTCCTCCAGGATGAACGCTGAGGAAGCATGGAACTCACGGAGCCGGTACCCGGCGATCTGGGACAGCGAGATGCCTCTCAGCTGGGCCCGCTGGCCTGCCGCCTCGATTGCCATGCTGACGTAGCCAGCCATCGGAAAGGTAGTCATGGATTGCATACGATGACCGCGGAGCCATGGTATGTTATCCAAGGTGAAAACATTTCGCCAGACAGGTTGCTCATCCTCACAGGCGGATTCTTCCAATTTTCCCAGCAAATCGTGTCGTGGGAAGCGCGGTAGTCGGTGGTTGTAGGTGATGCGACTCTCCCGCCAGTAAGAACGATGAGACCAGGGATATGGCGTGAGAGATGGTAACACTGTGGGGACTGAATGATCCTGGTGAGTTTGATTAACTGAACGGAAATCCAACTGCTGGCCGGCCAAGAACAAGCGACCTGCGAGCTGCAGAGCGGCCTTGGTGGCGTGTTCGTTGCGGACGAGCGAGGCGAAGTACTGAGTGTGCATGTTCTGAGTGCCCTGCAGAATCTGCTTGATCGGGCCCTGCAACGCGGCATGCGGCCCAATTTCGATGATGATGTCGGGCCTGGACTCGGCACACAGCTGGCTCAGCGCTGTCGAAAATTGAACCGGGTGTGTCAGATTATCGACCCAATATGATGCTCCCAGAGTCCGGGGATGCTCGACCTTTTCACCTAACAGCGAGGAATAGAATTGGACATTCTCCTTCTTCGTGGACGGCACGACCTGCTGGATGGCGCTGGTATAGTCATCGGCGATCAGCTGCATGTGGGGAGAGTGATAAGCAACATCGACATGAAGCTTGCGATGAAAGATTTGCCGCGCTTGTAGCTCCTTTGCGAGAAGGTCCATGGCAGTAGCATCTCCAGATGCCGTGGTAGACCGCGGTGAGTTCTCACAAGCGACAGTGATGTCCTCTCCAAGCTTAAGTTGCTTAATGGTCTTGCGCACCTCAACAGCACTCTCTCCAACGGCCATCATGCAACCATTTAGGTCTGGGAATTGGACTCGAACTTGGGCCGCGAGCCGTCCCCGATGATACGCCAGGGCAATAGCTTCGCTCACGGAAATAGCGCCCGCCGCATATGCTGCCCCAATCTCTCCACTGGAGTGGCCGACCACCATATTCGGTTGTATGCCCCAGGAAGCCAGAAGATTGGTCAGAGCAAGCTGCACAGCGGTACATACCACTTGAGATATCTGAGGCTGACTGACGCGAGACTCCGCTGCTTCACGATTCAACTCTTCAAACAGGGAGAACTCCGCGCCCAGGTCCTCCAATGCACGCCCTGCTTCCTCCATGGTGGCTGCAAAAACAGGGTGGGTGTCTGTGAGCTCCACCCCCATGCGGGGCCATTGTGCACCCTGTCCAGTATACGCAAAGGCAATGGCGGGAGAAGCGATGGTCCCCAGCTTGACGCGCCGAGGGACACTCGCCGGCCCATTCAAAGTCTCGACGAGTTCGGCGGTAGATGAAGCGGTGACTGCAACGCGCCAGGGAAAGTGAGAGCGCCGCTCTCCCAGGGTGTATGCGATGTCGTGCACCAGGCGCCGTTCGAAGACGCCCGGGTGTTGTTCCATGTAGAAGACAAGGTTTCTGGCAATGCTTTTTGCGGCCTCGTCATCATAGCCGCTGAGTACAAAAAGCCGGGGCGCATCGTGTGGGGAGGTGGGAGCCTGACCGCGTGAACGAGGAGGCCTTTCGAGTACGACATGGCAGTTGGAGCCACCAAAGCTGAAATTGTTGATACTGATGTACTTCTTGCCCTGGGGCCAGGGGCGCAGACTGGTCGGCACCTTGATATTCCATTGATCAAGTGGAATGGCAGGGTTAGCGCGTTTAAAGTTAGCATTGGGGAGAATGAACCCGCGGTGTAGCATCAGGGACGCCTTCATCACAGACACAATGCCGCTGGCAGACTCGAGATGTCCAAAGTTAGATTTGACGGAGCCGAGGTATAGCGGTGTGCGCTTGGTCCGGCCATCTCCAAACACCCGATGGATGGCGCCGACTTCGATGGGATCGCCAACCTTGGTTCCGGTGCCGTGCGCCTCAACGAATCCCGTATCAGTCGGGGAGATGTTGGCGCGGGCGTAGACTTCTCGCATGAGCTGTTCTTGGGCCTCTCCATTGGGGTTTGTCAGGCCTAGCGAAGTTAGAGGTCATCCGGAACATAAGTATCTTCCAAAAGGTAATGACGTACCAACAGTCTGTCCATCATGATTCGCTCCAGTGTTCCTAATGACGGAATAAATCGGATCATTATCTTTCAGAGCCTGGTCCAAGGGCTTAAGGACCAGACAGCCCACCCCCTCGCCGCACGCAAAGCCCGAGACGGCACGATCATCGAACGCGAAGGTCTTGCCTTGCTCGTTGTATAAGCTGCCAGGATTTTGTCAACATCTTGCGTATAGCTTTACATAGGCCATATAAAGAGGAGTCGTTACCCCGTCATAGACATTGAAACCATCTCATCTGGCTGCAAACGCAATCTAGCTCCACCAACCAGAGCGGAATCCGCATCGCCAGAACGAATACTTTGCACTGCCAGATGCAGTGCATAAAGACTGGACGAACAGGCCGTATCAATAGCCATGCATGGACCACGGAGGTTAAAGAAATGGGAAAGACGACCAGCCTGAATAGACTCCTGATTTCCCGTGGCATCGAAAATGGGAACTGAGTCAAGGTCGCGAAAAGCGCCGCGACGGTAGTCTGATGAACAAAGACTCGTGAAGACTCCCATCCGCGAGCCTGCGATGGCTTGTTGTGGGAAACCGGCGTTCTCCAGGGCTTCGTAGGCACACTCGAGGAGTAATCGCTGTTGGGGATCTATGCTGCTTGTCAGTCATTTAGGACTGCTTAGGCTCTATCATTCTGGGTCAGGAATAGATGAGGTTCTTTACCCATGGCAATGGCTTCTTGTTGCGTGATATGGAAGAATGGAGCGTCAAACTGGGAAACGTCTTCCTGGAGGAAGTAGCCTCCCTTGGGATTAAAGCAGCCCTTTCGCTGGGGATCTGGGTGGTAGTAGGATGCACTAGACATGCGATCCGAGGGAATTGGACCCCAAGCATCCCGACCCCGAGATATGAGAGTCCAGAAGTCATCAAGTGTACGGACCTCGCCCGGAAGACGACAAGACATGCCCACGACCGCAATGGGGGTCAGAGAGCTGTCCGTGATGGTCATTATGGCGGCAGAAGTGAGAAATTGGAGGATTTGGGGGGGGGATTGGAATGACAGAATGGAAAGAGAGGTCTAATGCTTGCTCGAACAGACCCAACTGAAGGGGGTCTCGCTATTTATCTATTTCCTTAAGCTCTTCCAGCGCAGAACATCCTTCACACCGAACCGATAATGCCACATGATCGTGTTGGTTGTTATTTGCTTTTGAACTCTGTCTGCCTTTCCTTTCCTTCTTATCTTTAGGTTCTGATCCAAGTTCAGCATGTACACGATACTATCAGCCGTCATGTCTGCTCCACCTGCTATTTGGGTCCAGCTGGCTTCGTGCCCACGAGCTATAAACATTGGCAGATCGAGAATTTCCGGTGGTACTAGAAGAGACTATCTAGAAGACAAAATCAGTGTCCTTTTCTCAGTAATGGAGGGTCCACATTTGAGGAGCTTGGGTATGCATCTTCCGACTAGTTTGAGTAATACCTTTGGATCTACATCTCAAATAGGGAATGGCATAGGCAGCGTTGCCGGGAACTTCAAGAAGGATGTGATCTGGACATATCTGAGCGTAGCTAAAGGATTCTGAATAACACAACAGTCTCTCATTTAACCCTACTCTACCCATGCAACATTATTCTGTTGCACACGGATGTTTAGGAGGGTGGCTGGGATGGTGAGTAGAACATACCTTCTCCTCTTTCATTAATAGTTGCTGATGGACAAATCATCGGGATCGAGAGTCCTAGTGGCATCACAGAGAGTGAAAGTTAATCAAGTTCAGACTCTGCCAAGATAGAGGAAGCGAAACCCGAAAAAGCGGTCAAAGAGTTGATAATATGTTGGAGGATCTATCGATCAAGTGAAACACCATGCATGCATGCATGTTACCCCAATCTTTGCAACTAGTCTATGATCTTGTTCAAGGTTTATTACCGTACAAAAGTTCCCTAGCCTCAATCTTTTGTCCCGATAGTGCTTATTCTTTCTTTACTTTTTCCTTTCCACTTCTCGAATTTATTGAATAACTGCCAAGTCCATCTTGCAAAACGCTAGTCGCCTCGATGTATTTGGGTCAATAACAACATTGAACTCAAATCCATAATCTTGCCATGAGGTTATGAACTAACTACAATGAAGCCCTAGCTGAATAATCCAACATGATCGGTAACGTAACGCCGGGCCGCACCGGCCACCCGCCCGCGCCGGCCACCCAGTACACCACCCAACGCGTTTCTACATGCAACCACTCTTTCTATCAAAGGATGTGAACTAGCAATGAGTAGTACAAGGCCGGTGCGGCCCGGCGTTATGTTATGTGGTCAGTCTGGAAGACGTACTTTGTACAACGCAACATTTTCTTTTTCACTTTTCATTTAACTCCTCTTCCTCTACTTCACCACCGCTCCTTTATCTCTGAAAAATGAAAAATGAAAAAAACTTTCTATCTTGAAATCTCATTTATTCATTCATCCATGTATTTCCCCTTTTCTCTTTTTGCCTTTACTAAAAAAGTGGGGTATCTCTAGCCGGCGCCATCCACGCCTCCTCGCCAGCCACGGAGTATATAGTCTCCGTATGATCGAAACAGTCAGCCAGAACTCCTGGTCGATGGGTCCCATAGACTAATGGATCTTACACCGCACACCATGGTTGATCTGCGATGACATGATCCACCAGCCAGGACGAGAGAGAAAGTATCTCCGCTCTGCAAGTATCTCAACAATGACGATTTGACATGACATGTACAAACTAGTCTACTCCCTCTGAACATAATTTTGTTTTACCAAATCTCTGAGGCCCGCTGGTGGAGGAAATAGTCGTCAAATCTTTTATATCCATTTTTTTTGTTTTGGCCCCTGATACCGTAAGTGTCAGCCCAATCACCACCGTAGATAAGAGACACACTTTTAAGGGTTAGTAGAAAATGTATGGCTTCAATAGAAAATGGATACTCAGCCCAGTGGCTGCAGATAGATCTCGGAGAATTGTGAAATGGTGGCCAGAGGGAGTACGTACTGCACCTTCGCAAGCCCTGACACTGAACACCCAAAATAGCGGAATAGTATTTAGTTTGGAGTAGTACCTCCCTACGACATTTCTCCCCCACACACCCACTTCTCATTGTAAAGTTCCATCTTCTCTACAGAACCATATCTCCACCCTAAATCCCCTCTTTGGGCTCTCTTCTATTTACCTTCAATCAAAGGTCGTTTCCAGTATGACCATTCTCTGTCTGCACGGCGGTTTTGGCAGTGCCCAAAACTTCCAAGTCCAACTCGATCCTCTCACCAGTGTTTACAAGTCCGTATACCCCAATACTTCCTTTCACTACGTCGACGGCGGGCATCCCGCCACACCACCGCCAGGATCTCAGTATTACTTCGGTCTGCCGCCTTATTACCGGTTCATCGAGTACGATGGGATCGGGCGGTCAAGTGATGTGTTGGAGCGGATTCGTCAGCTCCCCAGAGGGGCTACGGCCGAGGATACGATGCGGGTACTGGTACATGAGCACGAGATGATGTCTGCAGATTGTGTGAGGCAGGCGTTGGATAGGCTGTTAGGGATACTGGATGAACATCCTGAGATTGACGTACGTCCGGATCACATCATTCACCCTTATCCAACATAAGTGATAGTCAAGTAGTACTGACCAAAGAGTACTTGAATATACAGGGAGTTCTCGGCTTTTCAGAAGGCGCTACGGCCGCCGCTACTTTATTGCTTGAAGAGGAGCGACTTGTCCAGGAGGAGGGCAGGAAAAGACGGCTTAAGGTATGAATCCACGATATCATATTTGTGTTTGTAGTAGTACCTTTTTCTTTCCTTGGTTACACCGAGAGCTCATTATATCGCTGCATGCTAACACGTCTGCTGGGTTTTAGTACGGAATTTTTCTAGCAGGCTGGCCTCCTCTCCGTATAGTAGGCGACCGAGTAACAGGCTGTCTGGCGGACGAAACTGAAGACATGATTGTAGTCCCGACGTGTCATATCATCGGGGCTAATGACCCTTACGTAGATGGGACTATGGCATTGTATGGGGTTTGCGATCCAGATACGGCCATCATGTTTGATCATGGCAAGGGCCATACCATTCCGCGGGATGTCGCGACGTTGAAGGAGGCGGTAGAGGCGATTGAAGAGACAAAGAGAAGGGGAATTGAGGCAGGGGAGGTGTAGTGACTTTATTTTGGTCATTTAATGTACTTTAGAGACATTCAACTTGAGGACTAAGGCAGCTTATGGAACCCTGAATATATCGATAATTTAGGATCGAGGATATAGAGGTCGGGGTTTTGTTGGGAAGAGGAGGTGAGATGTCAGTCTGTCGGTGGATATGTTCGTTCTACATGCATGCTGCATGTGACCTCTTGTATTATTGATGATACAGGTGCAACTAGTGAACACAACTGAGAATGTAAGTACTAAACATCATATTAGGCTACTGGTAGGAGGCACGCTTTGTCCGCCCGCTCTCTAGCAGTGGTATCTGCTGCATTCCAAGTTTAATCTCACTTCCACGAATCTCAAGCCGTTGCGCTTTTCTATCTAAGCATTTATTCGACATGTTTCAAGGTCAAGATGCAGCTAATCATACATTATGACTTCGACATATATCAGATCTATAGCCCCACAGGCTGTCAGCAAGTCAGTAGGAATCCCAAAGAGAGACACCTAGTCTAGAAATTGATCAATCATACAATCCAAGTACATATGCAGCTCGCTGCCTTTCGGAGGCTTCTGGGGCGCATTTTGCGGTGTGTAACCCCGGATGCGCTCAACACATTATGCAGGAACTAGGAGTTAGTGGCTGGGTTAGGCAACTACCTAGCAGATATCTGTATGCTGGTATAGATAAACACTATTGTATTGTAAAGATATCCTGTAGAGGGCTATTGATTTTTTCTCTTTTTTCATTCATTGATATTCTGGGTTTTGTTCATGTATTTTATTCTTTTCTTCATACAGTTATTTACCCTGATTACTTCACTTTGTTACTGTTTCCCGATATATCTCTTTCTTGATGGTTTTATAACTGGCGTTAGTATCTGCCTGTCGATGATGAGAAAGAATAGAATATGCCAAACTGTGTCGGGTACATGTTAGTATAAGCTGATCAATGCGATACTCTACACATTTTATAATAGGTATCGTTAGCTGCGAACTGCTCGAGAATAAAGCAGAAAATGCGCGAAGAGAAAGAGATGATACCAGCATTACATATATGCCCTGCTGTGTAGATGTTTTATATGGTCAGTAACTATCCATGATGATTCTGTAGACCAAGGATACTCCTCAAAGAATAAATTCTTCATATGTAATATATAACTTACTCAGTATACTACGGTTTCTTTAGTATAGAGGTACATCTTGAAATTGATTTTTTCTTCACTAAAATATGGAATACTAATATAGGCAATACTAATATATACAATATATATAAGGAGATATAGTAAAGGCTGTTCTCTATTCCGGCCTTTGTGCTAGAGTATACTTAGTATCTTAGATCTGTTCTGGGAGTAGATATGTCAGAGTAGAATTGTATATCCATAATGGAAACCAAAATCTTGTCTTGTGAAATTCTACCACTACGCCACCTACAAGTATTGAAGTCTGTATAGCCACCCAAGTATACTACCGGAGGCTCGAACGGACTATGGTAAAACTAACCAATCAATCGATGGTCAGTCAGTCAATGCATTCTGCACTAGTAAGGGGATTTACGGAAACATGGAGGACCATTGTCTGGAAGGGCAGTGTACTTTGACTTGGCGGAGAACACGAGAAAATTCCCAGAGTGCCTAATAATCTCATCAAGATTTTCCATAACCTCATTCAATTTACTCATAAGTCATATCACATCTACACATAAAACATGCCCAAACTAGACAAAACAATCAAACCTGTGACCCATTGAACGTCATCATTCGTTGTCTTTCTTCCCGCACCACCCTCTTCCTCGGATAATAATGCCAACACGCCCAGACAAACATCGTGATCAGAGTC